GAAAAGAAAAAAACTACTACACAGTATAGTATCTATATACAAATGGAAGGCAACCTACAAAAGGACTAGTCACATTAGGTAAACATTGGGTGGTTATCATGGATAAATAAGAATCTGGGAAAATGAACAGTCTGATGGAAGTTTATTTGGGGAGAAATCACACCAGAAACAAGTGGCCACCAGCAGGTTCCCATCCCAAGGATGCTTCCAGATGCTGTCTCTGTCTCTGACCAGGAAGCAAGAGAGTGAGCTGGGGTCCAGGACCCCAGACCTAGTCCCCCCCCCCCAGGTCACGCATGTCCCACACCCCAGTAGGCATGGTCAGTGCAACAGGTGTGGGTGGGGTGGATATCTCACTGCAGGTGATAGTGGAGGTAGTTTCATTACTTTTCTCCATAATAACTCAACCCCCGAATCTAGTAATTTGAAGCAGAAGCATTTAATCGCCTCATGTGTTAAGTGTTCAGCTGGCTGACACTGACCTGGAGTCTATGGTATACTTGAATGGATGGGTATATCATATAAGCTTGATGGGGACTCCAGCCTATTGTCTACATATAAAATCTTAGCACTACCAAGACTTTAAGTAGACACATTCTTTTCAAAACTTTTTTCATATTCTGTGTTTTTCTGTGTATGATGTATATAAGTATACTCTGTATATGCCTGGTGCCCATGGGGACCAGGTGTTGAGTCCCCTGGAACTGGAGTCACAGGCAGTTGTGAGCTGTAATGGGGGCCAGGAATTGATCTCTGGCCCTAACTGCTGAGCTGACTCTCTTGCCCCAGTGTGCTGATTAACAACTTACAAAGAGGTTCACTGTGATGTGAGACTGGTATACTAACACTCCTACCACTTAAGGGTAAAGACCCAGGAAACACTTAGAAGGAAGCTTTTATTGATGGGGGAATGCCCTTTACATATGTTTCTCCTAATGGTTGATGAATAAGACACTGATTGGCCAGTAGCCAGGCAGAAAGTATAGGTAGGGCTACCAAAGGATAATTCTGGGGAGGGGAAGACAGAGAGAAGCCACCAGGGAGATACTACGTAGCTGCTGAAGGAGTAACATGCCGGATTATATGTAAGCCACAGTTTCATGACAATGCATAGTTTAATAGAAATGGGTTAGTAATTAAGAGAGAGCTAGCCAGCAAGAAGCCTAAGCCACTGACCAAATAGTTTATAATTAAGACTGTGTTTATTTGGGGGCTAAATGGGGGTGGGAAAGAAATTCCGTCTACATTTATTTGTGGAAGGGGGGAGGGCTCAAGACAGGGTTTCAAGGCATCTCTGGCTGTCCTGGAACTAGCTCTGTAAATCAGGCTGGCCTCAAACTTAAAGGTGTGTGCCACCACTGCCCAGCCAGAAGCATTTTGCCTGCAAATGTCTTAAACACACACCTTAAATCTTCCTGACATTGATGCCCTAGCAGGAAGATTGCACTGTCTGTCCTGGGATTTTTTTTTTTTTTTTCCTTTTCCAAGTTGAAAGCAAGGTGCTATTTTATTAATAGCTAACTTTCAGTACAGGGCTTAGGCCTTTGGAGCCCCTGGGACCAGTTTTTGTTCTTTTGAGGAGGCCTGACAATGTGGGATTGGGTTTTGTACTGAAGCCTTTTTCTAAATTTGAAAAGCAGTCAGTATCAGGCACAAGAATGTGTTGCAAGCTTGAATCCTTAGATCCTGCCTGCCCTTATATTGTTGCTCTCACACTTTATTACAGGCACTAGGGTGTGGCCTGAAAATATTTTTTCATAGTCTTGACATTCTAGTTTATAGTGTGCCATTTTCTGTTTCCCAGGTTACCATGCATCACTTTACTTTGCTTCCCACTCTGTAAGATGGATCCTAATCTTGGAACCACTTAGTGTTCTTCACCAAAACATCTGTAGGTCTAGTGGGTTTTTGCTGCTTCCCCAAGGCCATGTAGATTTGTGAAATTTCATATCCAGTACTATATGGATTAAGTTTTACACACTTACCTTCAAGTATGAAGATTTGTTCCCCTACCTAGAAACAAACCACTGCAAACATCAATGTCTTGAAACAGTCTCCTGTTCCTTAATTCCACACTCATTTGGTTTATTCCGGCTTGGACTCTCCGGTTGTTATGAGACACAGGAGGGTTTGAACAGCTGTGGGGTGGAAGGCACCACCCCTCCTCCATCAGTATCAGCATTTCTCCACATGAGTAATCAGATTCCTCCCAGAGTAACCTTGAGCAAAGCAGCTCACTCCCTTGTGGCCTAGAGGATCTAGGTAGGCTTGAGTATTTAGAGACCAAGGTGGGAGTTTCCTTTTTTCATTGTTTATTCTGATCTAGCCTGGGAAACTACATAATTCTACCAGATTCCATTAACTGCAAGTTATACTCTACCCAGAGCCAGGAGGGTCTCCACAAAGCAAAGTCCTAGAACACGGGAGGGATTTACTGTGGAGGCCATCTGTGGAAAATATTATCTGCTAAAACCAATGAAGGGGAAATGAGGACGCATTGTATATAAATGCTGAGAGGAAGCCCATGAGCTGAGATGTGGATTTAGGCTTCTGCAACTGAGTCTTACTAAAAGCAGTCACACCTCCACAACCTCAGTGACTTCCTTCACAACCCCAGGGGTTTACTTCAGAAAAGGATAAGTTGGCAGCTTCAAGGATACAACCATTCCCATCCCCAAACACCTAACTTCCTTCCAGAAGGCTCTACCTCCTGATGCTCCACTGCTACCCAGTAACACCACAGGCTGGAAACCAGATATTTAACACATTGGACTCCAGGGGACACTAGAGCAATAGTTGTGGAAATGCATTAACAAGCTATGAATATGACCGGAATGTTCCCTCGGGACATAATAAGCATTTAATCTTCAATCCTACATCTAATTTGTATTCAGGAAAAGATCTGGTGGGGGGGTGGGAGACAGGGCCTTGTTACATAGCTATTCTTGGAACTTATGATCCTCATGAGGCATTCTGGGTCCCTTCCTTTTCATCTTAGTACTCCTGGTACAATACATGAGTTAGCGTCCAGTTTCTTACACAGAACTTAAGCATTTGTCTCCAAATACAAATACCCCAAGCATCATTAGGCCAGTCCTCTCATGCATGAAAGGGAATGGAAGAAATGAAAACTTTGAAAATAATTAAAATAAGTTGCTTATTAATTTTAGTAACCAACTAAGGTCATACTTTGCCTAAAACTTACTACACCTGTCATTTTGTGAATGATTCGGATCATTTCCTGTGGAAGAACACTGAATGTGTAAGTTTTAAAATCCAAAGCTGCCTTGGGACTCCTTATCTATCTGACTGACATGTATAAATAAAGCATTGTTCATGAAGAGGCCCAAGTTAGTCAATTATTCTTTGCCCAGTTCAAAAAAGCATGACTTTGATACATATAAATTTTAAGTTTTATTTTTGGAAGTTACACATAAAGGAACAATAACTTTTAAATTTTTCCAAAGGATGTTTTTACTACTTAGAACACTGGATGACTTCGCTTATGATGGAAACTAAAACTTTTGCATTATCTTCAGCAGGAGAAGCTCAGGATCTGAGGGCTGCATTTCCCATAATGCTCTGCCTTCAGCAGGAGATGCTCAGGATCTGAGGGCTGCATTTCCCATAATGTATTGCCTTCTGCAGGAAATGTCCAGCATCTGAGGATTGCACTTCTCATTCTATAGGAGCACATTTAAAACTACCACAAAAACTCAAAACACTGAAACTCTTTAGCTAATTAAAATTAACATACTGGTCAATTCCACTTCACTTTTTGGTTTTTCAAGACAGGATTTCTCTATGGCTTTGGAGCCTGTCCTGGAACTCATTCTGTAGACCTGGCTGGCCTCGAATCTGCCTGCCTCTGCCTCCCCAGTGCTATGGTTAAAGGCATGCACCACCACTGCTCAGCTTTCACTTTTTATTTTTTAAAAAAAGTATGTATCTTAAATTACTTCTGACACAAATAAGTTATACTGCTTATGGTTGGTGGGAAAAGTTTAAAACATTCAGTAGTTTTATCTTCCTATATTCTTAGACTAGAAATGTTTTGGGATTTTTGGCAACTATTCTGAGAATATATTCTCTTCCCCACCAAAACAAAATCAGTTTTTCTCAATAACTCTAGAAGCATGCTTGCTTTTAAAAATAGTACTTTCTCAAAATACTTTTCAAGTTCATAAATATTCAAAATGTATTCTGACTCTTATTGCTGGTAATATAGGGAGTGCTTCTTGCTGCTATTCAAGGTTTGTTTAAAGGTTAGCCCTAACCTTAGTAGCTAACAGAACACAGGCACTAGTACACTCTCATATTTTCTTAAAAAAAAAAAAAAAAAAAAATCGTAAGTACCAATTTGTATGTAAACAATGTCTCTAAAATCAGGGTATGTCTCATGTCATCTCACCATCAAGTGCAAACTTTGACTCATGTAGCCATCAGTTAACCTGACAGTAGGCACTCACCTCCCAGTCCTCCCAGCCTTGCTCTACCATTAAGCCATATACCCAACCCACAATTTCACTTTTACTTTAAGATAAGCTAAGCTGCCCAAGCTGGCCTAGAACTTGTAATCCTTTCACACCCACCTTCCTATTGTTGGCACCATGCTATGGGTTAAAGTGGGAACTATATCACACAGTCATGGCACATTCTTCCTTGGGTAGAGGCAGTTAAAGGATGAAGGTGAAGGCATTGTCGGGGTTGGCAATGCTTCAGTACTGTATTGAAGTGTCTAATGAAAACCATCTTAAAACTCATGAAATAGAGTGATTAAAAACTGCATCCCAAACCTATAGTTGTACCCTAGAGTTAAAAACCAATGACAAAGATTTTGCCCAGTATATCCAGTCTTGTGTAGGTCTCTAATACTTTAACATCAGTATGTTCAGTATAGCCTGCATCCCCCTACTCCACACTGAGAAATCCCTCTCTGCAAAGACATTTGTTAATTTTTAAAACTAGACCGTAACAACCTGGAAAAGCAAAACTAAACATCGGGTGCTCAAACTTTTATTTTAATTCTTACAAAATACTATAGAAATGAACCCAAACTGAACAGATATGTACATGTACATATGTACAAAATTTTACTCCTGAAAAAATTTATAAAAGTAGATGGTAAAAACAAATAAAACACAGAAACTCCAAAGCAAGCAAACTTAAAAATGTTTAAAACCGGTATTATGAAATTGGTTTTCACAAGGAAAGCAGTAGTAACTATTGGCAGCGGCTGGTTTTCTAGGCTTTACACAATCGATAGGTCAGATTAAAGAAGCCTGCCTCTTCCATTTCAGAATCTCTCTAGTTTCATTCTATTTCATCTGCCAGTCCAGATCCCTCACAACTTTTCAGCATGAGGGCAAGGCACTAAGTTGTCAACTTGTGTTGTCATCTTCCTCTTGAGTCACAGGTCGGAAAGGCAATGTGGTTTGCCCTCTTTCAGGATCAGACATTCGAAGAATTCTAATCAGTTTACTTGAAGGAAGTGAGCTAGAGGAAGAAAAATCAATCACTCAATTTCCCAATAAAATTTTTACTTATTAAAAACTTGCACTCACCCTAGGTTCAATCCCCAACAATATGAGCAATCAATGAATGAAAACTTCCAGATCTCAATATTTTCAATTTGGATGAAAATAAAATAAAAAAAAAAAAATTTCTAAGTCAGCAATTTTACACTTTCCTTGTCTACAGTTGCCTGGATATTCCAAATCAAACTGCCGAACAATCATGGGACTACTTCATAACAAAGGATTAATCCTCAATGGCAAAGGATGGATAGCAGAGCAGAGCTCTTTCTTGGTGTTTTTAAGTAACCAAAGATAAAGAGGAGGGAATATTGAATTGTTTCTTTGTCTTACACAGAATTATAAAATCATCTTTGTATTAGTTGGCCAAGAAAACTACAAAGGAGAAAATTCTCAAAATATAAACAAGTAAAAATTACTTTTCAGTCTATTGATTTCTTAAAAGGGGGTAGGGCATGAATAAATATACATGTATCTAGGAAAGAAGACCTACTCTTAAGTGTGCTGAGCAAGAAAGGGGACTAATGTCCCCTCAACCCTGGTCATTTCTGTATTGAAAACCATGCCTGTCCCATGCTGCTTTCACTCAGGACTGCTTCTGGAGGAGTGTATGTGCATGTGTAAGTTTTAAGAAGTTACCTCATGCTTTGAGGGGTAAGCAAGATAAATTGTCTAAAACGCTGGGAATCTGCCATCTTAAGTATCATGTCCATTGCAATTCTCCTATTAACCATATCCTGAAGAACAAATGATAAAAGTTAGGATTGGTTTGGCATCAGTTATTTTTATAAAAGCAACATTCTTTTGACTAAACAAACTTGTAGAGTTTGATCCATTACTTTACATACAATGCAAGTAGTTCTTTTATGGAAAAACAGTATCAGAAACTGTAAGAGGAAAGTAACTAAATAAATATTCTCCCTGGTCATTTCTATAGTCAAGAGTATTTACATTACAGCTTCCTCTCTTAAGCACAAGTAACAACTAAAAGAATAAGAAAATATACCAATAACACAATTATTACAGAATGAATCTCTAAGTACAGTAATAGTACTCAGAATAAAGATAAAACATGTCTAGTTTCAAATTTATCAAGTTTCTATTTAAAAAGTATAGCAGTCACAAGGCATCATCATAAAATCATCATAAAAAGATAAGCAGACTTGAATAAATAATGCGTGAAAATACTAGACAGGGGCATTGTGCTTGGGAAATACAGAATAATACAGGTAAAATTTTTGACAGATACCATACCATACCATTAAGTGTCTCAATGTTACCTTACAAAATGAAATACTTTAGATATAACCACCTAGGGGTTTTAAAAGGGTAACCACAATCAGGCCTATTTGTACAAATCACCTCCCCTAAAACATGTGGAGGATGAGCTGCAGAAGCAGCAAGACACAGAATGAAAGCCTACCAAAAGATTTTCACACCAGCTGAAGTAAAGAAAGGGCAAGAGGTAGCAGAGCCACATGAGGTGGGACAAAAGGGTGAACCTTCAGAAGAAGACCAAACAAGGCCAGACAGCATAAAGGTCAAAGGGAAGAGTTAGTCAGATATACACAGGGTTTAGAGCTACATGACTAGGGTGGAAATGATAATTTGTTATTAACAAAGTTAAAAAAAATAGGAAAGAAATAAGCTTTGAGAGAAAGACCCACTCAGTCTCAGACATACTGAACTCGGAATGCTGGCACTTTACTAGGTGGCAGAATGGGTATCAGGCACACAAGTTTAGACTGCAAATGAGATATCAGGATGGAAAACATCCATCAGGTAGGTCTACAAGCAGGTAGTGGCTTGGGGGCCTATAGGGAGGGATGTCTATTACATCACATCTACACATATGTGGCCAGAAAAATAACAATACTATAAAAACCAAACAGAAAACTTCAAACACTCAGTGACATCAGAATTGGGAGGCAGAAAGTAAGACTAAAAAGAAGACAAGGAAATGTAAATCCAGATCAATGATATCAGAATTGAGAGGCAGAAAGTCAAGACTAAAAAGAGGACAGAGAAAATGCAAACCCAGAAAGAGTATAGAGGCTATAAGAAAACACACCCAAGGGAGGGAGGACAGGTGCCAAGTACCCCAATAAATATAGCCCAAGCTCATCTAATAGACAAATGCTGCTGTAGAGTCTGAATCCAACTACAACACGAGTAATAAGGATGTCTATTAGACACAGAATCTCATCTGAACCTCACTGTAGTTCAATGAGGTAGCGAATAATCATCTCTATTACATGGAGAACTGAAGGATAAATGTAAGCCATTTGCAAACTGTAGCAGACCAAGGTTTCAAAAAACCTTAAATTGTTTTTAACCCTTAAAGTCAAATGATTTGCATCTTTGTTACCTTTTTTGCCTTCCTGTTAAAAAAGCTTAGTCATAACCAAAGGAACCAGTCTACAAAAGCCCTGTGTTAAGAAGCAAAAGCTTTATGACATCTTTAGGTTGATGGCAATAAGCTAGGGAAAATGCTGAAGGAGAGAGAGGCTGCCAGGTGGACACTCATGATGCCAATGGTAAGAAGGCAAAGGCTGGAGTATGGCAGGGTCTCTAGAGGACCACATAGTAGCCATGGAGAGAAATAAACTTGAGGGACTTCCCACCACTAACATCACAAACTAACGTGGCAAAGCACAGCCTTCCCTGTTGTGGGGAAACTTCCTTTCAAAACGTTCCAACCAAATAAAAAATAGAGAACTTAAAATGCAACAATACCATGTAGACATCAAACTCATCCAGGCATCTGAAAGGTGATTCGGCAATGGACCACAGGGAAAGAATGAAGCATACTGTGGAGAAAGAACGTTCACCGCCGGACAAAGCACGCATGTCATTGAAGGAAGCTTTATTTCCCTCTCCAGGCTGAACCTTTAAGGGTGATCACAAGGAATAGGTTTATAGTTAAAAAAAAAAAAAAAAAAAAAAAAAAAAAAGAGAGAGAGAGAGAGAGAGAGAGAGAGAGAGAAAGAGAGAGAAGGGGTAAAGCTAAGATCATTTAGAACTTTGAAAGAATCTACTCCATTCAAAATATACTATAACAGTAAGCTATCCAATTTTTGATTCACTTTAAAAGAATCAACTTGAGGGGCTGGAGAGATGGCTCAGAGTCAAGATGCTCTTACAAAGGACCCAGGTTCATGTCCCAACACCCATAATGTAGCTCATGCCCATGTACGAGTCAAGTTCCAGGTATCTGATACCTTCTTCTGGCCTCCGCAGGCACCAGGCATGCACTTGGTGCATAGATATACATGCAAACCAAAAGTCCATACACAAAAATAAATTTTAAAAAACTCAAATTGAGCACCTTTTGTCACCTTAATGGAAGATAACATACCAAAATTCCAAAGCTGACAACAAACCCAATATTTAACTCAACATTATTTACTAAATTAAACAATTTAAACTAGTTCTTCTAAAGCTGTTACCATGTTAAACATTTAAAGTACTAAGATAAGTTTTCATTACTAGAATTACAGTGACATCTAGTGGCTGTAATAATTAAGATTGTCAAAACAGACCCACTTAAGAGGCTTATAAAAGAACAGTGAGAGAATGGACTGAAAAATACTTTTTAAAAATTCTCCATGGTAACAGTAACAACAAATCAATAAATGATATTAAAATTATTCATAACATAAAGTAATATAAAGAGGCATTCTATTTTATTTTGACAAAACTGCAGACATACTATAAATCTAACAAAATGAAAAGACCAGTTTTACATTAAATGTCAGCCATATACTACTCTCAAATAAGCATACATTCAGTTTTTGACTTTTTAAAAGACTTACAAAGTCTGAATTTAAATGTATACTGTGCATCATTTTTGGAAGACACAATGCCCCTAGGAGAAAAATATCTTATGAAAACATAAATTCATATTCCTTGAATTTACATCCAAAAGTATATGGTTTCAAACAAATACCACTTTTCCTCCCAATAGCAACACAGTAGCTCTGATTCCAATTCCTTACCAACCGAGTTCCCAATCTTGTTCATTTCCATCATCCTCATTGGGGCACGACAGTAGAAACATTTGTCCTTTTCTGATGACTAACAACCCTGAGTGCTGTCTATGTGATTATCCTCCATTTGGGTAACTAGATCTATTCATTTAAGTCTTTGGTGATGGGCTCAAGTCTTCTTTTCTTTTATTAATCTCAAAAAATTCTAGATAAGTTGTTTTATTATGTACCAAAAATTATCTTTCTCTAGACAACCACCTCCCTTATTGTAGTAATGTTTTAAAATTGCTTTTTGTGGCCTATTTTTTAAATCTTCAGGAAAGTATTTTTTATTAACAGGCAAAGGTGGCACATGGTAATGGAGCATGGTGTGCTTACTTCCACACATATGAAGCAAGAATAATTAGCATTTCTATTCCCTTACTTGCGTCTAGAGACCTTGAGAATTTCTCTTGATCTCTCTTTTCTTTGGTTTTTCGAGACAGGGTTTCTTTGTGTTGTGCTGGATGGATATCCTGGAACTCACTTTGAAGAGCACACTGACCTTGAACTCACAAATATCCATCTGCCTCTGCCTCTGAGTGCTGGGATTAAAGGCGTGTGCCACCACTGCCTGGCAAGTATTTCTCCTCTAGTTTTCCTTGTATATCTAACGGTTCCTGTGAACTGCAGTGGACACTATGCTGGAGCACTGGGACTTACTCCCATCGGATGGATAGGTTTGTTATTCAACTTCTCCTTCTCCCCTCCCCAACATGTAGTGATCATTATTGTGTGTTCAGATTAACTCCTGAACTTCTGTGAGAATATGTACTATTTGTTATTCTGTGTCTGACTTATTTAAGATCACATACTCTAGATTTATCCATTTTGATGCAAACAATAGGATCCCATTCTTTTTAAAGGCTGAATAATCACTTCATCATGTAATCTACTATATTTCTTTTATCTATTCACCTACTGATAAGTAAAATTGATTCCCTCACCCATAAGTTTTATTGTTCTACATTTAAATTTTTAATTTTAATCACTTTTTAATACTGAAAATGTGATAAAGAATCAAAGACTATTTTGTTGTTTTACCAAAAGGATACACAATAATCCAAATGCAAGTAATTCGCAAAATGATCACCATCTACCCACAGGTTATGTAGTGTCTCTCTAGAGGAGGGAGCCCTGTGTGCAGCCTGCTTTGCATCCTCCACTGTTTTGCTGCCAATGGACTTTTGCTTCCTCTTCTCATCTTCTGCTCTCAGTTTTATGAGCTCTGTGTTTGAATTCCTAATTGTCTTCTAGCTTTCTGAGATATACCATTAATGCTGAATCTATCTTTTCCTCCTTAAACACATACAGAGCATTCCAAATTCCTTTCTGAAAGTGTTACAATGTCTCCTTCAAGTTTTGCTATGTTTTACATTTTTATTGTTGATAGAAATTATCTTCTATTTCCCATGTGGTTTATTATGATCCCTTAATCATTCAGAATTTTGCTGTGTAATTTTATAAGTTTGGGAATTTTGGGGTAATCATTTATTTCTAAAATTTCATTCAATTTTAAAATTTAATTCTTTTAAATTCTTTGAGATTTTTAACTGAGTACAAGAAAATGATCTATGTTGATAAATGCTCCATAGGCAGTTCCCAAAAATTACAAACCACCATAGTGTTCTATGTTTATGCTACTGGGTCAATTTGGTAAATAGGGTAACTTTTAATCTGACTTTTCCATTAATTACTGAGAGTTCTAAAATTTCCACCTATATTTAACTCTCATTTTGTCTTTCAGTTCTCTCAGTTTTTCTGTATTTACTGTCTTCTGAATATACAAACAGAAATGTTTTTCAAGTTAATTTTCTAATACTATGAAGCACTACTTTTGGTCTCAAGCCTGTGTAAACCTCATTTTGTTGTTTAGTGTGTAAGCTTTCTTGTCTATCTGCACGGCATGCCTTTGCTCCATGTTTTCACTTAGGATTGTTAATCATTAAAGTGTCCCTTTAACATGTGACTCCCTCTAATGTAACGTAAATCTGTTTTCTGATGGTCTTGAGAGAGCTCTGTGAAAGGGTCATTCAAGATTTACGTTATGATTCTTAATAATAGCAAAACTATAGTTCTGAAGTAGTAGTGAAAATAATGTTATGGTGATGGTAACCACAGCATGAGAAACTGTGTTAAAGGATGGCAACCTCAGGAACGCTGAAAAGCACTGATGTAGCAGAACCTTACTATCTATTATTTTAGCCTAAAATGTTGACATGTTAAATTTTATCTATGTGTTGTTATATGTATAAATTCTTATATATGCACAAGTGTGTGCACATGTGTGTGTGAGAAAGGTGTTTTTCTCAATCACTGTCACCTTCATTTTTCTGAAACAGGGTCTCTTATTGAACTTGGAGCTCACTGATCCAACTAGACTTGCTGGCCAGAAGCCCTATGAATTGGCTTGTCTCTGTCTACGGAGCTTTGGGATTAGTGTGTGGCCTTTATACAATGCTGGAGATCCAAACTCAAGTCCTAATTAATGCTTGCACAGCAACCACTTTACCAGATGGGACATCTCCCCAGACCCTGTTAATTATAAATATAAGGATGTGACTTCCTTTATCATCCCTTTCTTTTGTTCCTTGATATTTGCTAGAATCACCAGTACACTGATGAATAAACAGTGTGCATGGACAACCTGCCTGTCTCCTAACTATATAGTAGGGACTCAAATCTTTTTACTTTATGTTTGATGTTTTATACAAGAACAGATATTCTAGCCAACACAATCGCCCACCAAGGTGGAACAAGTTTCCTTTTGACTAGGAGATACATATGTTAAGGCTGATTGATAGTTAATCTGGTAGAAAGCTGACTTGGAGTGGCTTTACAGCCTTACTAAGACTTAGGCATTGATGCCTTTGGCTGGTCATACACAACTCCAGCCCTCAAGAATGAACTGAAATAGCAGTCATATGCCTAACATTCTACAAGCTCTACTGTCTTGTCTCAGAAGCCCTCATCATCACCAAAATTCTGAGATCAGTAAATGCCTCCAGGAAATAAAATATCCAGCAATGTTAGCTTACTTTGGACAGGCTCTCCCACTTCTTGGAATTTCAATTCATCTAGTCGCTGTTGCTTCCACAGCTTTCCAATGTCTTTAAAAATAGAATTTTTGTAATTTCCTTGGATTTCTTGTACTTTTGCAGTAAAAACAATGGATTATCATGACATACTACCCCCCACCCACAGGCCTAATTCCTCCCAGTTCTTTTAAATCTGTATCTTTAGATAACTGGATCTCAAAAATAAATGGTGGGTAGAGAGATGGTGAACATAATTTACCAGTGGAAATTTAAACAAAGAAAAGGCAAAACTAACTTCCTTTTTTTGTTTAAAATGCAGAAGTTCTAAATTTACTGTGAATATTGGAATACAAGGATAAATTTATGGTAACAAGAGAAGCAGTTACTATTTAAAGTGGGTAGCTTTTTTTTTTTTCTTCCTATATAATTGTTAATCCATATCCCTACACCACATACTCTGTACACATTTCCACAAATACAGAATCTATAAAGGTGAATACAGCAGATAAATTATGAGGTAGAAGCTTCTTGGTTTCCCACAGTGAGACTATGGACAAATCACTTTCTATGTCCTACATGGTGCTGTGTAAAAACTTAAAACAGGAGTGGACAGACAAGATGAACACTATTAGATTGAAAATAAAAATGTACTTAGCATCCTAAGAAAACAATGTGACTGGGGGGGGGGGGGAATCTAAGCTACTAGTTTTATTACGGACAACTTAATTTTAAACATACTAGCACAGATCATCTGTAACTTAGAAATAAATTCCCATTTTCTAAAGCTAACAGGATAAAGCTGATCAAGGTTTCATCAAAAGAAGCAACTAATGCTAAAGATGCAGAGTCAAGATACTTACTGATATACTAAGAGTTTCATTCTTGTGATCGAAATTCATTTTTCCACAATAAGCCCGTTGAGACAGTAAGTTGTCAAAGTACAATTTGCAGCGCAATGTCAAACACCTTCAAATAAAATATTTTGTCACATTATAATATAGAACTGTATGTTCAACACCGTATAAGTACAGGCAACTATGCCAATGTTTGGACAATAGCTGACCATTTTAAAAGATCAATTTAAGATGATTTTCCCTGTTTTTTTTTTTTAAGTTCATAATTTTGTCTTATTTTTTAATTTTTAACATTTATTATGTATACAGTATTCTGCCTACAGGCCAGAAGAGGGCACCAGACCTCTTATAGATGGTTGTAAGCCACCATGTGGTTGTTGGGAATTGAACTCAGGACCTCTGGAAGAGTCAGTGTTAGTTACCGCTGAGCCATCTTCCCCAGCCCCTGATTTTCCCTGTTTTTAACATTTGTGTCCTGGATTTTAACAAGTTCATTACTTTTATACCAATATTTACAAAATAAAGGTATCATTCTACATTTAATATGCCCTATTATGATAGACAGTCTACATGAATGTATTAGTCACCCAAATAATTTATTTAAGGCATGATTACTCTCAGGCATAAGACTAATCTTGTCTTTAAAGAAAATAAGCTTTAGAGACACCAAGGTATTCATCGTATTTATCTGTCTGTTTCCCCAACTTCACAATGGAAAAGGTTAAGGGTAATGCTGTACCCTTGATGTGAATGTGAACTCCATCATTTCTTCTCCACTGTCAGGTGACAACGGACTATATTTTAAGGAAACTTCTGCTGCCTTAGTTCCCTTTCCTGTAAATGTACCAGAGAACAACCTCACCTATGATTCTTTGGTCCTATACACCTTGGTTTTATTGTGTGCATGCGTTTTTTTACTATTATGTTTATGTGTGTTTTGCCTATATGTTTGTCTGTGCATGACATGTAAGCAGTAACCACAAAGGCTAGAAGGCAATGCATCCACTGTGACTAGAGTTGTAGATGGTTATAAGCTGCCATGTGGGTGTTGGGAATTGAACCCCATAAGATGAACCAGTAGTCTTAGCTGCTGAGCCACCTCTCCAGCTCTGTCTACCTTATTTCTTAAACAGCCTCTCGTTGCTCTAGTGCTTGCCTATTTAGGTAGCTGTTTCACTAGTGAGCCCTAGAAAGCCTCTTATTTCCACCTTCCCTGTAAGTGACTCTTCTGTGCCCAGTATTTATGTGGGCCACAAAACAGGGGCTCAAACTCAGGTCGGTCCTCATATTTGCCCCCAGCCTTCCATTCTTTATTTATCTACCTTACTCTTTATCAGGATGAAGTTGCTATGATTGTCAGCTGTCTCAGATTTTGACAAAGACAGCCCTTTAAGCTGTCTCCAAAGTCACTTTGAGGGGGTGGCTAGGGCTGGGATATGAGCCATAACAAGAGACTTATCTGTATATCCCCCACAGATTTGCTATCAGCTCTTTCTTTCCATGAGACACTGGTTGCTTTTAAAGAGGGCACAGTGTTCAAAAATAAGGTATGGGTGAGAGAAAACTGGCAGTTTTTCTGATCTTCTCTACTCATTAATGAGTTGAAGGCTATTTCTTCGATATAACTATGACTTTCTTCTTCACTGTTTCCTGTCCTAAACTACATGAACTCTCCACACTAAAAGGCAGAGAAACTGGGTTTTCTTAGTTTCTTTTGCTGCCCTAGCACTGGTGTTTGGATTGCAGAACTCCCTATTAATAGACTTCAATACTCCAATGCACTGGCTGCTTCCATTCACAAGACTTCCATCAACTGCTGGAAAATATGAAGGTTAGAGAGGAGAGAGATGATTCTGACAAGTTGGTCATTTTGTTCATATCAGTAGTAAAGCATCTATTAAGGTAAGACACTAGGATGGTTAGTGTTGTCAACATGACAATCCGAAATAGGCTGGGAAATGGACTGTGCATACCTGCAATGGATTTATATTTATTGGGCTAATCAAGGCTAGCCTAAAAGCAGGCAGGACCATTCCTTGGGCATAAACCCCTGAACTATGTTAGAAGGGAGCAGAACGGTGCACATTCACACTCCATTCTCTGCTTCTTTACAACACAACCAGCTCCTTCAGATTCCTATTGCCTTCACTGTGAGCAGTCCTGTCTAAGCTGCTTTTCTTAGAGTGTTTGTCAAAGCAACAGGAAAGTGAACTCAGACCAACAGAACTTTTACAGAGACTACTTAAATGTTAGTTTCTATTTAACAACAGAGAAACAAACTACACTACATCTTGAAAACATGTACATAATAGAAACCTGAATTTATTTTAAATTTAAGATAAAATATAGAAAAATTAAATACTATGTTAAATTAAATACTAAAACTCTTCAAAATCCAGCCAAAATATATTAAACAAGAGTTTTCAGTTTGGATACCAAATAGCAAAAGCAGTCCCAGTCAAAATGATCTCCCAAAAATGAGCAACAAATGAACGGAGGAGCCCTACAAATACCCCCCAAATTACTACTCATCAAAGACTACAGCGAGTGTACACTTCATGCAGCCTAGCATTTGAGGAGGAAGAAAAGTTTGGAGAGCACAGTACTAGAGAGAGCAGAGGGAGGGATGCACAGGAGACAAACTGCAGAGCACACACCACAGTTGTGCCAATTACCCTGATCTTATCTTTGCCTACTATGTATGTATGTACATGCAGTGAGATGTCACCCTGTATCCCCACAAAAGAGCACAATTAATTTACATTATAAACTCGTTTTAAAAAAAATTCAACAACTAGTGCCAGGCAGTGGTGGTGGACGCCTTTAATCCCAGTACTCAGGAAACAGAGGCAGGAGGATCTTTGTGAGTTTGAGGCCAGCCTGGTCTACAGAACCAGTTCCAGGATAGCCAGAACTGTTACACAGAGAAACCCTGACTCAAAAAACCAAAAATAAATAACAAAGACAAAAATAAATAATAAGAAAAGAAAAAGTAACCAATTCAACAACTATAAATATGCATTTCAAAGTTTAAAACTTTGACAAAACATTTTATCTTTAAAGCCTTACCTATTGGCCAGCAAGATGGGTACAAGTGCCTGCCACTAAACCTGGCTCCTGAGTTCAATCCTGACTCATGATGAAAGGAAAAGACTCTTGCAAACTGTCCTCATCTCCACATGCCAGCCCACAGCATATAGTACACACAAACACTCCAAATAAATACACAAAAAAATTTAAGGCCACCTCCAACTTTCGCCATATATACATATAATAGCTATTCTTAAAGAATTTTGGGACTAGGAAGTTGACAATTCAGTTGTGGAGGTACCTACCAAAATGTGAAAACCTTAGTTTGGATCTCTAGAAGCCACATAAAAATTCCTCACATAGCTTCATGCTCCTATAACCCCTGGACTGGGCGGGAAGGGGGTTGACAGGTGTAGATCCCTTGAAGCTCACTGACCAGGAAACCTAGCAAAAATGGGTGAGCTTCGGGTTCAGCAACAGATGTTGTCTGGGAATTTAAAGAAAATTCAGGGGCTGGGGGTGGAGCTAAGGAAACACACCTGCTATCAACCTCAAGTTTCCTCCACACACATATGATGTACACACACCATACACACACACACACACACACAAAATGGTAGAAATTGGGATATAAGGACAAGTAAAAAGCATTATTAGCGGACTGTCTGGACAAAACACAGGTAAGTAGAAGAACTGCAGATGCTCAGGAATAAGGATATTAAGAGATATATATCCTGTATCATCTGTCTTCCAGCTTTTTCGGCTTCTTGTGATATGTGGGGGATCTATTCATTCCTGAAAGACTGTATATCTTTGAGTATTGTCTTAGCTAGGCTTTCTATTGCTGTAAAGAGACACCACAACCACAGCTCTTATAAAGGAAAACATTTAATTGGGGTGGCTTACAGTTCAGAGGTTTAGTCCATTACCATCATGGTGCAAGCAAGGCAGCATGCAGGCAGATACAGTGGTAGAAAAAGGGCTGAGAGGTTTTACATCTTGACTCACAGGCAATAGGAAGTGGTCTGAGATACTGGATGTGGCTCAAGCATATATGAGACCTCAAAACCTGCAATGACACACTTCCACAGTGACACACCTCCTCCAACAAAGCCATATCTGCTGATAGTGGCACTCCCTTTGTGGGACACTTCCCTTCAAAGCATCACAGATATGATATTAACAGCTTGTTTCCTTGATTATTTATTCAACTAATGTATATCAACCACCAGCTATATTTTAAACACAATTATAAACACTGGATAATGCAGTAAATGAAACAAAGGTTTGTAATCATGGAGCTATATACCATTCTAGTAGATCATGGTAAAGCAATTGAGACACTGTCTTAGGAGGCCCTTCCAGTCTCCCTTAGTAACATAGTAACATACAATGTCCAAGAGTAAAATCAGTTGCTTCAAATGACTGACAGGCATTACACAGAATCTGAGAGCTATCTAGTAAATAAAAATGCTATCTAGCAGTGGAAAAGCTGGGTCAACCTGCTGTTAAGGTCCTTTCAGATTAGTATTCTGATTCAACTACAGATTACAAACATGGACCATGCACCCAAAGTATCTCATACTGCTGGACTGAGGAAAGATCTAATGGTTTTATTATCATGCAGAATGTGAAAACAAACAAAAAGAGATTAAAATGCACTTACCTTCTAAACTGCTGGTATGTTTTGTACCTGTGAGTCATTATTTCTTCTAGTAATTTAATGAACCTCCTTAAAGTCCTTACTTTATTATCCAAATCAAGATAGGTTTCTCTTGCTTCCTGGTACTGCCTATTTTATGAACAAAATATTCAGTAAACAAACACAAACATACAAGTAAAGACTCAAACATATTTTACTGGAGAAAGGAAAGAAGTAGTGTTGGGAGGGCCTAACAACAGTAATTTCATGAATTTTTAGTCAAAGTATATCCCCACAAGGAATGAACACTATTAGAGAGAGACAATGCAACTGTGAAGGGGAAAGAAGACTTGGAAAATGAGCTTGATAGAAGAAGTATGAGGTTAAGTACCCAGGTAGGTTCAGGGTAGCAGATCTCAGGAAACATTAATAAAGTGACACTTTCTAAAAATAAAAGAGTCACACCAGAAGATTTTCTTAGTATCAGATGCCAAAAAGGGAACAAAGACAAGGTCAGTACTAGAACCCCTCCATTCTAAACAAGATAGACCAGCAAGGTGCTTAAAAATGTCACAATGGAAGGAAACCAACACCCTGATATTCTCTCACTAAATCTGAAGCTTATCTATTTGTCTAGAATGGCTGGCCCATTGTGGAACCATCTGTCCCTGGTGCTGGGTTACAGATAGCCATTTCCCCGGTTTACAAAAGTACAGACGATCCAAATTCAGGACACTGTGATTGCACAGCTCCCCAACTCATTCATACGTATATACATATATATATATGTATATACATACACACACACACACACACACACACACACACACACACACACACACATATATATACACATATTTTTTTTTTTTATCAAATTCTGGGCCTTGGGTATGATATGCAAGTATACTACTATTGAATGGCAACCATAGCCAAATAATAGAACTTACAAATTTTTAAAGTGTGATATACTGATTCCAAAAACTTCTTAGTAATCTGATTTTCCCCCCACTGTTTTGAAAATGAAGCTGAGATCATTGCTTTTTCAAACTTGCTTTTTAAAAGTACTTGTTTACTCTGTGTATTTGTGCATTCACCATGGCACATGTGGAGGCTGGTGGATAATCAATGTTGTCAGTTCTCGCCTCCTTACACGATATGAGCCCCAAAAGTTGAATTCAGGCCATCAGGCTTGGCGGCTGGTGCCTTATTTGCTGAGGTATCTTACAGGACCCTTCTCAGCCTTTTATAACATTAAAAGGGGTTTAAAAAAAAAAAAAAGCTGTAATTTTACTATTCTTTAACCATTCTTCAGAGATGTGTACCACTGTTAACGTTTCATATTAAAAAAAATACCTTTAAGGGGCTTGGTGTAATATTTTCTCACTTTAGATTACATTACAATATAAAAGCATTGATTCATTTAAAATTGCAACAAATATTTTGACTCATAATGATGAAAAGTTTTAACAACTATGCTAGGTTTCCTCTAGATTCTATTTATTAAAGATTCTTTTATTTGACTTGATTTCATTTCATTTGATTTTCCTAACAAACCCTAAGTTATCATAATTGTACACATTATGTAAATGGAGAAGGCTAAAGAGAATTCGATTGATTGGTAGTAGATAACAGCAAAACCATAAAGTCCTCTAATTCTATTAAGGCCTTTCTTTTTTATCAGTAATGTAAGAATACCAATTTCATGAGACCTAGACTGTTAGTGACTAATTGCATTTGTTTTCATGCATGTGGAAAACCGCTTATAATTATTCTGACTGTCAGTTCTTGATCACTCATGAAGCTCAATATTTTCCTGTTCATATGATTCTTATAACATAAATTGCATTTATGTTAAAATGTCATTCCATAATTTAGTAAGAAGGTATTGTTCATTGTCAATAATGCCCATTACAAACTACTTCAGTACAATTACATACTGATGGCAACCCTTCATCCAAATTAAATTTACATATAAAATAGTTCTGTCTTAATAATATCCATGGAAAATACACTCATGTAAAAAATTAATGACCGCTTACTTCATTATTTCTTCCCGATCTCCATGACTAGCATGTTCTGCCTGTATTTTTTGTCTTAATCGATTAATTTCTTTGTCTAGAATTGATGCAGATTTTTTTACTTCTATCCGTTCTGGGCAGATCTGTCTTGCTTGTGACATTTTCTCCTAGGAAAAGATATTTAGATCTTAAAAACTTCTTTGTTATGATACTTCATTATACTAATGTCATTAAAATATGCAAAGAAAATTATCTTAAATTTTTGAGACATGCACTTACTATCAGTGTTTTTTTAAAAGATTTATTATATTTAATTATGTATGTATACTTAAGTATAGATGCCTGTGAAGGCCAGAGATGTTGGATCTCCCTGGGGCTGGAGTTACAAGCAATTGTGAACACGACACATGGGTACTACAAAGCACATTCAGGTCCTATGGGAGAATAACTATGTATGCCCTTAGTTGGCTCAGTCAGCTCTCCAACCCACATCAATATGTTTTTATCCATGTTTTACAATGAAGAAATAAATTTATGTGTCATTAGAAATGTACTGTCTTTAGGATATACTCTGAAGAACAGAGGAATGGAAAACATAAATAGACCATCTTGTTTATAAACAATTAAAAAATGCTAAGATTTTCTCACACAATATCTATTTCATACCATAATGTACTGCATTATGTATGGAACAAATATGGAAATAGATTAAGTGCTCCACTGAACCCGCTTTCTTTAGGCTACAAGACTGCCTTCAATTTATTCTCTACACAGTGGCTGCTAAACTTTGAACAGGCACAGCTGGCAGGAGTTAAAGCCGGCCAGTGATGTGGAGGCATCGTCCTGATATTAAGTGGTATGTACTGAAAGAAGAACACCAAGTCACAGAGCCACCTTCTCACTGAGACACATGGAAAGCAAACTATTCTAGTTAGGTCTTCACATTTTGAGGGACACTACTAAGTCTCCCCTGTCAATTCACAGAAGCACCTGTTTCTCTGTAGGAAACAAAAACTCAAGACCATTTGTTGTTGTTTTTTTTTTTTTTTTTTTTTTTTTTTTTTTTTTTCTAGAGACATGACACTGAAGAAAAAGGCTCTTAGGAAGGAAGTGTGACAGACAACATAGCAACATAGAAGTAAGGATAAAACAAAAGAGTATGGTAAGTAAAGGAGCAGAGAAATAAGAGAGAATAGGCAGGAAGAGGGAACTTACCAAAAAAAGCATGTATGGAAAATTCACATGGAAGCCTATTTTATTACTTTAAAAACAAAAAATAAAAAAAAAAAAAAAAAAACAAATCGATATTGTATAGAAACGTCTTAAAATAAATCTATAGGAAAAAAAAAAAAAAACAAAACTAAATGGAATCACCAAACAACAGAGGAGACAAAGCTCCATCCAATTAGACATTGCTTGCCATCAAATGAAACCTCCAATTCCAGGAATGGGTTACATCTAATCAAACTGTTGAATAGTTAGTTCCCTTTGGAAACCTCCAAACCCAGGCTATTGCCAAGGCTATTGGCTGCTCTCCACAAACTGATGGTAAGAACCTACTATCAAAAAAACATCTACAAACAAACAACAACAAAAAAAAAAAAAAAAAATCACTGAACATGGAGATGAGTCAACTGCTGTCTACCCAGAGCCTTCATCTCAAATAACCAGTGTTCATGGTACTGGAAGTCACTCTGTACATTACCAGAGGAGAAAGATAAGTACTAATGTAAGCACTGCATTCCCTTCAATCTATAATAGTGACCTTCATGCAAGATACATTGGTAAAATGGTGTCACAAAAATGGAAATTAACTAATAACTATCTGATTAGAATTAAGGCCCACAGATGGAACCCTGCACTGCCCAGTGGCCAAGCATCTAATACTAGATAGGACATGGACCTAGGGGAAACTAGGTCCTTGCTCAGCCATCACCAGAGAAGCATCCTCCTGCAGCAAATGACAACAAATAGAGACCCAAAACTGTGGACAATATGCAGAGAGAGGGCAGGAGAAGACCTTCGAACACTCCACTCTGAATTGGATGTCTTCATCAAACCCCTCCTCTCAAGGTTTAGGAACTCTACATTAGAGGAGCAGAAAGATTCTAAGAGCCACAGGGGACAGAGAACACCAGAGCATCAAGGCCTTCCAGACACAACAGGAGGACTGACACACATATATGAACTCACAGACTGTGGCAACATGCTCAGGCCACGCAAAGGTCTAAAGTTGTAGATAAATAATCTGAAAGGGAAAAGCAAGCCAAACCACTGGCTAACCTGTAGCTCCTTTTCCTTCATGTCAAGTTCTCTTCTCTTTTTATTTAAGGTATCCAAATGTTCTTTCTGTTTATCTTCATAATGCTGCTTTCCTCGTTTCTGGCTATCCACTTCAGAATCAGCAAGATTTAATTCATCCTGTTTCAATAAAGACAATACAATCTATAAAGGAAGGATCATTAACAGCAGGGTGGGTGCTCTGGGGCTTTGGGAATAGGTGACAACTTAGCTAATAGAAGTGCCCATTGCACTTTTTAGAGAGAAATACCATACACCAAAATCTCAATTATCTCACAACCTCCCCACAACACCTCTAACACTGAGTACACTCTCAAGTACTTGGGAAATCAATTATTTAGTTCAAAATCATCTTGGTTTTGCTACTGACAGGTAGTGTGACATTTTGAGGAGGAGGAAGAGGCATAAAAACTTCCTGCCAATACAAGCAGGTTTACCAGAGAACTCAGGTCCTACCTTTCAACAATTTAAAGGGAAGGCAAAAAATTCTTATTGCCCTTTATTGAACTTACTTAAGAACTCCCAAGTTCATGGCTTGCTTGACATTAGATTAAGCACAGAGAATTAAAATAAAACTTAAGAGTACAAAAAAAAAAAAAAACCACACACACACACAGATGCAGAGGGGTACAGTGCTTACACAACACAGCTCACATAAAGCCCTGAGTTTGTTGCAGAAACATACACAAAACAAAACAAGCCCAAAACAGAGCTTGCTCTTCACTCTTTCCTAATTTGAAGTCTCCTGAGTAAATAATTTACCTGCTAATCTTTCTTCATTTTTTTTTTTTGCTTTAGCATGTCACTATTAGTATTTTAAGTGACCCTGTTCAATTCTTTATCTCTGTAGATTTTCAATGTTACTACAATGTTTATTGTTGCAATCCCTGAGACCAAAATTTTATTTTACCTATTCCTCAAATTTTTACAATTTCATTTCTTTTCTTATTTTAAATCAACAAAATACTATTTTAGTCATATTTTTCATTCTTTGTTTTTTTTTTTTTTTTTTTTTTTTTTGTACATTAATGCTGATTTTCTCTAGGACCTTTTTTTTTTTTTCCATTTATCTTAGGTCAATTATATTTTGTTTTTCTTCTACTTTTAAACTGTACTTCCCTAACAATCAGTTCATTTACGAGTGAACTGTGCTTTATCACTAAAATGTCTAATTCTGGAAATAGAATTATTGAAATGACAATAAACTGCAGGATAACACAACTACCAAACAAGGCCTGAAATTCACTTTATTAATTTATTTATAAACAACAAAATTTATTTTAATTCAGTTCACTTTACTCCCCTAAATCTAGTCACAAATATTATATGCCATGAATAAAAGTCAAAAGAAATCAGTCCAGAGCCATGTGTGGTGACCCATGCCTTTAGTCCTACTACTTAGGAGGCAGATGAGGACTCACCTGTTAGTTCATGGCCACCCAGACCGTTTCAAAACACACCAGAGAAATCAGCCTCAAATCTAAGTGTGATGTGCTAATAAACAGGGTTAGTAACATTTTATTTCAAGCTGGCTTTCACAGCTGCTAATCCATGAGTAACTAAAGGAAAGATGGGAAGACTCAGGCAGGGACAGAAACAAGTTGCTGCTTTGGGTGGCCAAAGAGATTATGATCTAATTGTTCATTTTCTAAAGACTAATTCAGCAGTTTATACATTTATATTTATAACTAACTAGTGAGGATCTTCAAGGCAAGATACAATGAGTTTGTTAGGTAATAAGCTGTAACATAAAAAAGAAAGAGTAACAACTGTATAAATACCTTAAGCGGATCTGCTAGCTCTGACAGCTGATTAATTTTCAATTTAATTGTATCATACTTGTTTTCTGCTTCAATTTTTAGACTTTTAAGATTCTCCATGTTTTCTTTTTGTTGCTCCATATTTTTCTCAACCATCTGCATTTTTATTTTATTTTCCTCAGCTTCATCTTCCTGACAACATTTAAAGAACATAGAGTTAAACACAAGTCATCCAACAAAAATATATTTTATATAAGCAATTCTTAGAAGGAATGAACAACAGGAAAACTCAGAGCGAAGATAAAAAACAAACACACAAACAAAACTGAAATATTTTCATACTTAAATGGGAATACACAAAGTAGTGCAAAAAAGGTTCAAAAGAAGGAATGGTATTTACCATTCAAGCAAAATAATACTCTGTTTTAAATTATAACAAAAGTATAACTTATTCCACCTACTCACTTTCAAAATGTATTTAGTATAAATCAGTATGTATTTGTGACAATGTGGTATCTGCTAAGTAAAAAAAGAAAAATTAAAACATAACCTATGCCTTTATAAAAAAAATTAACAAATAATAAGCAGGAGACAGAACTACTAATAAAACTCAACAATCCTCATTAGCCAAAAGTTCTGTAGTGACGATCATCCCTGTTTCGTTCACTGCTTACTGCATGCAACATGCTGCCATTCATTATGCAGGATATGGGTTGCGTGCTTCTTTGTTGTACTCCAGAAAAAGTCAAATTGGTCACAGAGGGCTAGAAAATTTAAATACACAAAAACATGTTCAAAAAGAAAAAAAATGAGATGGAATACAAACCTGGAATAAGGAATCCACGCTCAACCCTGACTGACTGGAAAAGTAGTCCTGACCTTAGGCCCCACTTATCTGAGAAACAGCAGCTCTCAGCATGCTGTTTAGAAGCACATGCTTTGCTAACATTTACAATATTTGGTAGAAGAAAATTCTACTGTGTGTACAGTCATATACCCAGCCTCACTCCGTGCAGAATCTGATGTATTTCACGAATGTCGATGGTGAGCATAAAGAATAGTTCCAACAAAAGGATCTTTTAAAAAGTGAGACTGGCAAGCCAATAAGCTATTACAGTTTTATCCTTTAACAATTAATTTGAAGAAAAGTATTTTACCAAGGTCGCAATATCTACAGACTGGTGTTCTTCTATATTCTCAAGTTCCCGAATTTCAGAAATATTTTTTCTTATTTTCATCTAAAAAGGAAGTATTTAGAATTAATAAAAACCAAAGGCCTTGGAAGAATATATTAAACTACAAAGCTCTACTATGCTTATAAAACAGCAGGATGTAATATCATCAAAGGGGATAGATACATGGTATTCAATGAACCAAAAAACTGAGATACATGCCACTAAGACCACTCTCACTAATCTATGTCTATGCAAAGAAGACATTAAGAAATACACTTTAGCATTCAAAACAACCCATTCTTCAATCCATACAAGAAAAATGCTTCTCTAAAATACTTAATGTTTCAAATTATTGGAAGATTACTATAAAAATACAGTGTTTCCCAAAGGCCTAAATAATCCCTGGGCAGCATAGAAGTCCATGTAGTTAAAACTTTTGCCAGAAAAGCACTGTAATATCATCCATCATTCTTATTAATGCTTTCTCTCAAATTAACAGGTAGTTTATAAGTGTACCTACCAAAAAAACAAAATTTGTATTTTCATTTCTAAGCAGTGATGATACATGCCTCTAATCCAACCACTTAGGTGGCAGAGACAAGTGGATCTCTGTAAGTTCGAAACCAGCCTTGTCTACAGAGCGAGTTCTCAAGACAGCCAGGGCAACACAGAGAAGCCCTGTCTTGAAAGAAAGAAAACAAAAACAAACAAACAAAACAAACTTTACTGATAAAATACAACACACTGGTGTTGTCTAGTTTTATTATGTCAACTTGACACAAGCTAGGATCATTTGGAAGAAATATTAAGTAAGAAAATGCCCCAACTAGCCTAGCCTATATGCTGGTCTGTAGTGCAGTTTCTTGATTGGTCAGATACATATAAAAAGGCCCAGCTCATCAAAGGCAGTGCTACACTGGGCTGGTGGTCCTAGGAGCACTAAGAAAGCAGGCTGTGCAAGTCGCGAGAAAGACAGTAATTAGTACTCCTCCAAGGTTTCTGCATCAATCAGTTCCTGCTTCTGCGTTCTTGTGCTTCTGCTCTGACTTCCTTCAACCATAGACTGTGATATGGAATTTTAAGCAGGTAACTTTGCTTTTGATCCCCAGTTTGCTTTTGATCATGGTGTTTCATCACAGCAATAGAAACCCTAATTTAAACAACATACAAAAGAAAGATATCCCTAGTCAGGCAATGGTGGTACATGCCTTTAATCCCAGCACTTGTGAGGCAGATGCAGGTGGATCTTTGTGAGTTCCAGGCCAGCCTGGTCTACAGAGCAAGTTCCAGGACAGGCTTCAAAGCTCCACAGAGAAACCCTGTCGCAGGTGGGAAGGGAGTTATTTCTAAGAATAGAAAGGGAGTAAGGCCAAAATATTTGAGAACATGAATGACAAAATGGTTAAGTTAGGAAAACCAAAGGGTTTTTTGTTACCTTTATTTCTTTATAATGTAGCTGGCACCTTTTAAGAAGTTCTTCATTTCTTTTAATATCCTTCTCTAAGGCAGAGAGATGGTGTTGAAGATTTGTTATGTGGGCCTTTTTATTTTCAATCTCAGTCTCCAAATCACTTGATAGAAAAGAGAAAAAAAATAAACTAACTCTTTGCTCCTTTACAAGAAAAGTTTACTTGAAATAACTTATTTACAAAACTCTATGCCATCAAACCAGTTCTACAGTCCTATCAAATCATTAAAAAGTTACCAATGAAAACTAGCAGAAATGAGACAAGATTATCTAAACTTAAATTTTGCTTATTTGATTAGCAAATATTATAATATGAATTCTATTCTCCAGGTATAATGCACTGATGTCGGTGGTAGCAGAAACAAGACAAAGACTCAATCCCTTAAAAGAAGATGACCAGATTACGTGCAACATTAAGTATCAATAGGACAAGATACCTTCTGTCCTCGCAGCTATAGGAATGCAAATGTTCTGGAAGAACATTCTTTCCAGCTAGGTCAGCTAGGTGATGCAAGGAGCATGCATGCATATACACAAGCACACACCCAGTGGTGACAGAAGACTTAAATAATAGCTTAACAATTCTCGTTTAAGAAAACAATGCTAAGACCATGTATGGAGTGGAGGGAAAAGAGGACAAAGGGATGGAAAAAAGGATGACAGATGCCCAAAACATCAAGGGTCTCTTTGTAGCAATGCAGCAAAAGCTACAATTTAGTGGTCTGCTTTACTAGTTCACACATGAAAAAGAATATTTGTTACCTAGTAAGACATACTAAACAGGAACTAAGTATACAAGCTACTTGTGTGACATCCATGTATTCCAGAATAGCAATGATCTCTAATCCTGCACTGCACTTTGTTGGTTTCCACAACACTCTCCATGTATAAACTACCCACCCCTCCTTAACACATTTGGCAGGCACTAAGTATTTGCTGTTTGAAGAAACAAATGAAAGCATAAACTCTGAAGTAATATCTATCAAAATGTTTCACCATGCAGTTCAACAACACACAGATACTCACCCTAAGAGCCTGTTCATACATCATGCATACTTTCCTAATGGGACTGCTTTGGGATGAAAAAAAATGAAACCAACTGCCACAACATTCATTTGGCTAATTTTCCCCAACATCTTTTTTTATTCCTAAACAAGAACAACTTTTATTTAAAATCACTAAAGCCTTGTAATAACTTCATGCTACTTTTAATGAATCACATGAAAATTAGTCAACATTTGAAAATGAGAAACAACACTCTCATTTCCTTACACATGCAAGTCACTTAGAAGGAATCCTTTTACTTTGAGTCAACTTTCTTAAAGGCCCTTCCTTCCTTCTGTAGTAATGCCACAGGGTGAATCTTAATACCTAATACATGGTAGATAGGACTCTACTAAAATAATGCTCCTTTTGCCTCAGTCTCCCAAGCAGCAAGGATGGCACCAGCACTAGATCTTTACGTCAATTTACTCTAAATATACTACAAGTTGGTAATTTCAAACCTAACCCATCACTTCACCAAATGGAATTAGTTGGGTTGAGAATTCAAGATATCAATGGTACCAGAAACTCTTATTTGCAAACTGCAAACTCTTTTAACTTCTCAGGTTTCTTTTTTGTTTTGTTTGTTCGATTGATTGATTGATTGATTGATTGATTGATTGATTGATTGATTGACTGATTTTGGATACAGGGTTTCTCTGTATAGCCCTGGCTGCCAGGGAACTACCGCTGTAGATTAGGCAGGCCTCGAACTCATAGATCCACCTGCCTCTGTCTCTGGGCACCAATCCCTGGACTAAGGTGTACACTACCACCTCCCAGTGTAACTTCTCAATCTATCTTTTCTACCAGCCCTATTTTCCTAGGCCTGTATTTTAATTTTGTTAGTTGCCCTTCTTTTTGCTTTTTCAAACAATGTAACTGTATATGAGACAAATAAGGAAGGCCATGTCTGAATGTAGCTCAGTATGCTGGATCCTTGCTAAAGGAAAAAAAAAATCATTGTGACTCAAGAGTGAGCAGTGATACAGCTGTATTTCTTCAACGTGGAATCCTTCAACTCTGCAATCTACAGTCTTCTGTGTACTGTTAGAATCTCATGCTAATTCACACACTCTTAGTACAGTGTTCTTACAGCCTGTGGACAGGTAGCATTTTGTACATCAGCTGCTGAGAACACTCTGTGTATTTGGTCCTCAATACTGTTGTCAAAATAAATGCTCAATTCCACATCTAGTTAAATAAACTTTTAAGACCAAACACTTAGATAAATCACAATTTTTCCCTGAAATAATCCCTAAGGGAAGGAAGGCCATTGAAGAAAATGGAATCCAAAGGAGATGGTGGGAATAATATAGTGAACAAACTCAATTCAAACCTGATTTCAGAATCCACATCTCTGCTTAGAAACTTGGGTCTTGTGCTTTCAGATGAATAGTAACGTCCTGCAAAAACTTGATCACCATCAGCTGTAAAAGCTTCTCTACAATTCTTTGGTGGCTTTTGGGACTGCATGACTGCACGAGCTACAGAATTATTCTACAATAGAAAAGAAGATACATTTTTAAAACACTCAAAGTATTTCTGATGGATACACTTCAAAATTTTAGCTATTGCTAAGGAAATTCAAGTACAGAGTATGAACCCTGGCCTTACTTTGATTAGCAGCACAGTCTCGATGCTCCGCATGTCAATCAGGCTATTTGCAACAACAGCATTGTCTATTTCTAAAGCTGTCAGAACAGTTGGAAACTCTGGATGGTAAGCAGCTCTAGAAGATAGAGGAGAAGGATAACTTCACAAACTTTAAACTCAAAAAACACAAAAGTATGTAATTTAACGTAAGTAAAGAGAACCTGAAGTATCTGATGATATTTGAAGGAATATCTGTAAGAGACTTATTTATTTACTTAATAACACTAAAAGTTGTGTGAAGACACTGTTCTAAGCACATAAAAAATATGAGCTCATGTAATCTCCTAACAGCCACTGTAACACATCCTCTCTATTCTCTTCTGATCAGATAGATGCTTCCTAGAGCTTATTAAGTTCACTAACATCCTTAAGGATAGTCATGTGGCCAGGCTGGAATTTAAAATAAGCAAATACAGATTTAAAAGACAGATACATGATCATAGAAGTTACAATTTCTACTGTAACTGTGTACAAACATAATAGTTCACTAAAACACATTTTAAATAGCTGAGTAACTATTTCACTGAATAACAGGAACTGGAGATGGCTCAGCAATGCTTGATCTGCAAGCATGAGGACATGAGTTCAAATCCCCAGCATCCACATAAAAAGCTGGACATAGCTATAAGCCCATCACTGAGGCAAGCAGGTCCTGAGAACTCACTAACCAATAATCCTTTCATAAAGGAATAAAATGCATCTTAAGTATCTGATACAGTTAATATTCTAATAGTTGCTCTTTTTTACATTTAAATGTTTCATTGCTATATTTAATTTCCAACCATATTTTAAAAAGTCCTTCAACACACATATTCACAAGTCCCCTTCAGAACATTTAAGTCAGCTAAAGGTTATTAAATCTACTCCCATCATATCAAACTGGCACTTACCAATAGTCACACACAGTAAAAATATTACAATTTAAATCCTTCCACTACTTCAACAACTTTGTACTTAAGCACATTAGACTTTATGCTGGGTTAAACACTTTGCCATCACCCAGACCTGTTTTATTAAACTATAATTTCTAAAATTTCTCAGTCTTACCAAAACTTTTCTTCCCAAGCTACTCCTGTTAAGCCTGACTAGCCCACAAAGCCAGGTCTACATTTTCTTCTGAGCTCCACTTTCTTTGAAATATTTCTCAGCAGGGTCCTTAACTGCTTCTCACCTCTTTGACACACCCACACATTCCAGAACTTATTCATTTCAGTCTTAATAAAAATGACATTCTTACTGACATTTATAAAGTAGTATTAACAAAACCCCTGTAGCTACCATAGTTTTGTATCTTAAGTAGAGTACCATTCAGCTTCCTCATGATTCTTAGCACTTGGTTTAGACTTTCCAGTAACAGAATTTCCAAGCCTCCCACAACTCCAGTTCAGTACTCTCATACTCATTTTTTTTTTCTTTTGTCCAAGGAAATCAGCAGTATACTGCACAAATGTTGCTAACCTTTAAACCCTTCCACAGTATACTGTAAATCAGAGTTGCTATATATTGCTTAATCTCTGAAAAACCACAGGCTGGAAAACAACGTGACAGCTGGGCAGTGATTAGCATTCCCCTTCACCAGGCTATGGCAATGTTTTGTTTATAGACTAAGAAAGCTTGCCATAGAGGCCAGGCAGTGGTCTGAGCATTGGTAGAGGTAAGACCTCTAGCAGCTGGTTGCTCTGCTTCTCTGATGCTTCAGCTTTCACCCCCTGCTAGCTGATTCTGAGTATTTATTATTAAGACCAATTAGAATTCATGCTACACCAGGCCCCATGGCAGATGACAGGGTTAAGGAAGTTGGAGAGATGGCTCAGTGATGAAGCTGGCTCTTCTTACAGAAGACCTCAACAAAAAGAGGCTCACAACTGCCTTTAACTCCAGCTCCAGGGAATCAAACACCCTTTTTCGGCTCAGTGGGACCTGGACTCATCTGTACAAACCTCTTAACCCCCACAAGTTAAAAGTGAAATAAATTCTTAATTAAAACAAAACAGGTTCAAGAAGGTGTTTTCCCTCACCTAACTTTATAGAACAGCTTCCAACTTCCCCATTTGGCACCCATATGGCAACAACTTCCCCATATGGCATGCAGGTCACCAGTTCAGGTGTGGGAGTTCACTGTGTCATTTTCAACATAAGCAACTAAGTCTGTCCTTAGGCAAATTCATTAGTTAAAGGGCTGGTCATTTATCACCGCCTCTGTCTACCTAACACTTAACTCTGTCTACCTAAGACTTAATGCTGTAGAATATTACATTGGGATGTGATACATTTGCTTATGCTTGGAACACTTGGTTTAATGATGTGTTGCATCCTTTTAAGTTGCATTTGTTTAATGAAGCTGTGTTACTTGCCTGCCTAAAACACCTGATTAGTCTAATAAAGAGTTGAACGGTCAATAGCAAGGCAGGAGGAAGGATAGGAGAGGTGACAGGCAGAGAATAAATAAAAGGAGAAAAAGAGGGATGGGGAAGCAACAGAGAACAGGAGCAAAAGAACAAGGAGAGGAGGACTCAAGGGGCCAGGCACCTCTTTTTTTTTTTTTTTTAAATTTGCAGTTGAGTTTTAGGTCCTAGATTCAAAATATCTCCCGAGTAACTAGGACCTATAGGTGTACACCAATGTGCCAAGCTCACATAACTCTATTTATAAAGTGGACTGATTAGCCAGCGATAGTAAGAGTTCTGGATTGGTCCCCTTGAGAGGAAAACACAGTTCTGTAGCATCCTAAGAAATGCCTTTCCAATTGTGCACATGACTAAGCAAACTAGAGACAGTATTTATCTGATTACCTGAGTCTCACATCATATACCTCATTCCGAAATTCAGAAACGATTATCTGTGGCCGAGAGGTCCCTGGTGGATAAAATTTTTTCATCAATGACTGAAGTACTCTCTCATCAGCGTGATTATGGCAACAATAGGCTTGCAGAAGTCCTTTTAAGCAAGATTCAATGGCCAAAGCAAGCTCGGGGTCCCGCAGATGAATGCAAGCACCTAGAGTGATCCACACACACAAACACATGCACACAAAAAGAATTATAGGATTTATAAACATTTAAGTAACACAGTTCTATAGAGTGATCACTCTCTAGAAGAATGTGACTAAAATTTCTGAAACCTTACATAGAAACAAATGAAAATACATTAGCATGGACACACTGGAGATCATACTGTTTAAATGAAGTAACAAATGAAAAGGAAGAAACTTTATGAAGAGCACATGAATCTGAAAGGACTAACACTCTTTCTCTAAATTCTTTTTCCCTTCTCGGCTTTAGTTTTTAAAGAAGAAAAGGAAAGGTAGACATTTAAAGTGATTGTCTCATTATGTTTAAAAATGTGAGCCATAGTGGTGGCACATGCCTGTAATCGCAGCACTCAGGAGACTGAGGCAGGAAGATCAGAATTAAGAGCTCAAGACCACATACAAAAGACTGTCTGTTCCACACCAATGTCAAAACCCCTTAGTGTAATTAAAGTTTATATATAACTAGCTAGTTAAATAGAACACTTCCTAGAACTAAGAACTCATGTTAATAATATTTTCAAAAACAGTGGCAAATACCTAAAGGGCCAATAGGTTTATGAGTAAATTGTCTCCGTCTGTAAGCATCATCTATAGCTTCCAGAAGAGCTGGAACATGAGGACCAAATCTTTTTAGTCGATCAGTTTTACTATCTTTCAGTTCTTTCAATTGTCTCTGATTATAACTCAATGTATGCCTCACATCTAAATCTTCTCTCCTAAAATACAAAAGCAGAGAAAGAAAATGTATTATGTTTAAGTTATACAGAAATATTAGGGTTTTGTCCATATATTTCCATGTTAATCAATAACCTTACTATGCTAAAAAAAATCTGATTTTCTTTAATTTAAAAATAATTGAGTTATCAGACAAAAACAGTCAGCAGTCCTCAAAACTCACATTAAAAGTGATACAATACTGATGGAATGAAAATCCCACAGACTGTCAAAATGTACAAATCTTAGAAAAATAATTTTAATACATTTTTATCAGTGCACGTTGGTGGCACAGGCCTCCAATCCCAGCACATGGGAGGCAGTGAATCTCTGAGATGGAGGCCAAGCTTGGCTGTGCTAAGATTCCCAGGCCAGTCAGGAATACAATTCTGACTCCAAATAAACCAAGTCGAAAGGCTCTTGACCGCTATCACAAAAAAGCTGTTTTTGCCTCATATTAACAGCAGAACTGCACGACACTCAAATAAGTGGAAGGTGTGAACTTACTTAATTCGAACATGTTCTTGTTTGTCCTTTTCTATAGCTTGTTCGAACTGTGCTGCCTCCTGATTGACGGCACTTTCCTGGTCCTGTAAGGCCTGTACTTTCTCTTTCAACCAACAGATCCTTCTTTGCCTTTCCAAGCGCTCTGGCTCCAACGACTGATCAGTGCTAAGGAGAGTAATAAACAAAAGGAGAAAGATAGTTAAATGAAACCTGACATTAAAAGCATAAGTCACTGAAATAAACTTTCATTAACACCAACATAGACAATGCACTGCTCATGGTGCCTCATCATTACACAGTGGTGACTGTGGAAATGCCATGTTACTATAGTACCTTTTCTTTAGCTCTTCAATTCTTTTACAAAGCTGCTCATCATCTTTCTTTAATGCTTTATATTCATTTAGGGAACGGTTATACAAAACCTAACAAAGAATTAAACATATTTTAGTAACATGCAGAAATGCATACATATACCATCAAAGCACACCCATGACCATCTGAAATGACATTTTATTTTTTTGTGTTTTTGTTTTTTTGTTTTTTGTTTTTTTGAGACAGGGTTTCTCTGTGTAGCCCTGGCTATCCTGTAACTCGTTCTGTGAATTCACAGAGATCTGCCTACCTCTGCTTCCCAAGTGCTAGGAGTGTGCCTGCCACCACCACCTGGCTGAAACAACATTTCTTGATGAGTGAATGCAGTATTTTTATTTTGAGCCAAGTAGAAAAACATTACTTTAAAAAAGTAATTAACAGAAAAGGAAAAGCTAACACAACAGTCATTATGTTTGGTAGAGTTTTTTTTTTATATTATAAGTTATAAGATTCCTCCCACCTCAGCATCATTAAAGGCTCTTGTCCGTGCAATGACATCTGTTTTCAATGCCAAACATTCTGGTGCCCGTGCATTTGTCTCTTCGCTGATTTTTTCTAGTTTATCTTGAATATCTTTGTACTTTCTTTCTGCATCATTAAGTCTGACCTTTAAGGAAAGAAAAGGAAAAACAAAAACAACAACAACAAAAAAAATTACTCTATTTTTCAATAACAAGAAAAACATAAAAAATAAGAACCAGTCACATTCTAATAAAATTAATTTTACTCTCGACATCAGATAAGGGCTAAGTGAGACGGCTCAACAGGTAGGGCACCCATGCTAATCCTGACAATGAAAATTTTAACCTGAGAACCAATCTGCTAAAGAGAACTGAATCCCTTAAGCTGTCTTCTGACCTTTTGGTACAACCCAAGGCATCTGTGGATGCTACAGCTTACATGGATGTACACATATGTGCATGCATACATACAAAACAGATAAATGATATAAAGCCTTTAAAGTTAAAAGATATTAGGCAATCCGTTACATAAAATACTAAAATGTAATTTAATCCTGACCCATTTAAATTATCCAATAGATGCTATCTATCCTCTGAGTATACAATGAAATAGTGTCTTTAAATGAAAAAGATTTTAGAAAGACAACATAACAGAATACACACAAACTGGATACTAGGTAGAATATACCTATTTATAATTATAAAACATAAAAAAAGAGACTATAGGTATGCCAGGAAAAGTCAGGATGGCCCAAAAGGAAAAAATTGTATGTGCTGGCAACAGAAAGGGTAATTAATTATGTACAGGTACATAGGCTGAGGGAAAGGTTTTAGCCAAAGACACCAGAGCATGTGCAGGTATCAATATCTATTTTAGAAACTAAAAATAAGAGAAGTTCAACTGAGAACATATATGAAATGAGATGATAGGTAGAAAAACTTCATATTCTACAACCAACAGCTTATAACTCAATCCTCTAAAGTAAATAATGTCCAAATTTGCATGCTGATATCTGATCATCCTCAAACTTGTTGAAGGCAAGGTGGCAGGAAAATTAAGGAAAGGTTTGAAAAATAACAAATATAAAGTCTTAAGGAACCAAAATGAGACATTGACAATAGGGATGAATTAGAAAGGGAGGGAAGGAGGGGAGTGTCATTTAAATCAGAAGCTAGCACATTTCATCTATAAAGAATCCCACGTAGGTCTGCCTCTGCAGGCAATATGATACGTGTCACACTCTCAGCTCTGGCCTTCGAGTGTCACAAAGACACCTGGGTCTAGAGGCTCACACCTGTGACCCAACACAGGGGAGAGTAAAACGAAAGATATAAATTTAGGACTTGGCAGAGGAGGAAGAGACTGGAGGAGGGAAAGGAAAAACAGAGCAACCAACAAAGGACAATGTCTTAAAGAACACTTCTTTGTTGTTGTTGTTCTTTTGTTTGCTTTTCAAGACAAGGTTTCTCTGTATAGCCCTGGCTGTCCTGGAACTCTGTAAACCAGACTGGCCTTGAACTCGAGAGATCCACCTGCCTCTGTCTCCCAAGTACTGGTATTAATTAAAGACATGCACCACCACTGCCTGGCTAAAAATGGTTTTAAAGTTAACAAAAATTTAAAGTTAGTATGATAATATTTCTTCAGAAACCTATTCAAGCGTCAGTCTATAGGCAATAATAAAGTCATGTCAAAGTGCTGCATAAGAGTGGTGGAAGGGGACTGGACAGATGGCTCAGCAGTTGAAAAACATTTGCTGCTCTTACAGAGGGCCCAGGTTCAATTCCCAAGAGCCACACAGCAGCTCAAAGCCATCTGTAACTTCAGTTCAAGGAAACCCAACAACTTCTTCAGGCCTTCATGGGCACCAAGCATGCATGTAGGAAAAACATCCATTCAAATAAATTTAAAAATTAAAGAAACATGGTAGAAAGGATATAACTATCACTATAAAATAGTCCTTACCCTCCAAAAGATTATAATTTCCTACAGAAGCGCCAAATGCTTACACAGAAGAAAGCCCTATAGCTTTCTTCACAACTCCTAGCTTTTGAAAAAAGAGGTGAGCATCTATTACTCAATTGGGTTCCATTATTAGGCTGGGAAATAGCTCTCAAGGAAAGTACCTCAGAACTTCCTCTACAAAAAGCTGAGAAATAAGACTAAGAGGATAAACATATTTGAAGAAAAAAATTTACACTATTATGTCAGAAACAAAGTTTGAGGTGAGTGGTGGCAAGGGTTGAACTTCCATTTATTACCTGAAGAGGGAGTGAGAAACCTTGCCCAGAGATTGCAAAGCAAATATACTATTCACTGCTACAAAACCCTTAAAAGTAAAGACACCTGTTGTGACAGACAAGTGCTAGTAAGCTGGGGAAGATTGCATCCTAAATTGCAACCATACTTGGGGCAGAAATTCCTTAAGCAAAGGAGAATAAAATACTAAGACATAAGTAATACACAATGGCACATAGAGTAGGACGAGGAAAATCATCTTATAAAGCACTGCTTCTTAAACCCATGTGACAGCATGTTACGGAATGTGGGAGTCCCAAAAACTTAACAGGAAAATGCTCCCGAATGACCAAAAATGAAAGAAAAATCAAATGCATAAGAAATTCAGGGTGTTCATGGCAATACTTTGCCATGCTGTATCGTGCACCTTCTCCACAGACTTGGTTCTGGACACAGTATGAGCACTTTGCACTATACATACCATATGTCACAAGACCAACAAAATCTGCCTCAAACACATGTCAGCTCAGGTCTGAGAGTTTTATGTTATGAACTACAGTATTTTTATTGAATAGATAAAGTTAGAGTAACATAATGGCTTAATTAAGGAGAACAACTTATTATTTTCCTACCATCACTCTGTAGCTTGTATAAATTCTTGTATCTCTGGATTATTACTGTGTTTGGATATTTGCTTTTAAAAACGGCTCTGAGTTTCTGACTCCAGTTTCAAAAAATGACCATGAAACCACTGAAACATTGCTTAAACCAGGCATGGTTTAAGTCGAGAAAAGCAGAAGCAGTCTGATCTACAAAACAAGCTCCAGGGCAGCCAAGGCTACACAGAGAAACTGTTTCCAAAAGCAAAACATTGCTTAAAAAACTCCTTGAGATTAAAACAGAATTTCCAACAATTTCTGAAATGAGCCTTTTAAAAAGCTTTGTTACTTTGTACTAGTACTTTGTACTATGTATTTATATCAAGTGGCACCCTTATAGCAGTAATGATTATAAAACTTATACATCAACTCTGAAAAAAACATTAATGATGTATGTCCCACAGTATTAAATACTAAGCTAAAGATTTAATTCCTTATGTTTAAAAAAAAATGTACATCCACCTTATTAGTATTCAAATTTGCATTAGTCTTTAAGGTAAAATTTTATGTTCACCTAAATATTGTGTTAAAATAAATATCTGGCAGTGATGGGGGCACATCTTTAATGCCAGCATTAGGCAGAGACAAATGGTCTAGTTAAAGCATAGCCAGGGCTACAAAGAGAAACCCCATCTCAAAAACAAACAAATGAAAATTTCTTGATGACTTAGTATCAGTGACTTTACAAACATATTTGACATACCTACACACAGATGACGAAGGATTGGGAGTGGAAAAGCTTTAAGAAGCTCTACCTATAAAGACCAAAAAGCTATGAGTCTCACTTTGAGCATTAGTGAAGGAAGCTCTATGCAGTAGCTGCACAACCTGGGAATTACCAAAACCCACGGAACCACACTTGAATAAACCTAACAAGTTATCTATTTCAAACACTAGGAAATAGGAAATCTAGATTCTGGAATATAAATCATAGTACTCTAAGGTTTCTCTAGGCACTGTTTTCACTTCTAATTTCTCTAGTTTACTAATATCTAACTTTAATTCAAATAAATTTGACAGTTATTTTTGGCAGCTCCCTATTTCTCAAATGTTCTGTTTCAACTCCTATTGTCCATATACATGACAGACAAGTCAGGATTATTACAGACATATATAGTTCTGTTTCAAAACAGTTGCAGCTGCTATACATTATACAGTCTTTGGAAAATGATCTGGTTCAAGATTAACAGATTTAAGTACAGATAATACACAGGTGGTTTGTAGGTCAAAACTAGCACCAGCAATCTCATGACCTAACTGACTATATCTTTGTAAGAGTCTCTAAGTACCTGCTGCTCTTCCATTTTCCTGTCAAGTTTGGCAGCACGTTCTTCACCAATTTTGATATTATCTCGAATAGCATTCAACTGTTTTTCAATTTCATTAACCTGAAATGTAATCATATACAAAATTACAAAGAACAGTCATGTAGTCTGTGATGAAATTCACAAATGAATATAGATTAACAAAAGGAAATATTACCACTGCCCAAGCCATTTCATGTTTCAGATATTCTAAATTGGTCTTCATTGTACTTAAACCAGCAATATTTTGAAAACGTTCCTCTTTCTCCAAACATTGCCGCTTTAGTTCAGTAAGTCGCTTAAAAGAAAAACAATAGAAGGAAATATATTGTGAACATGTTATTTAAAACAAGGCCTAAATTGGCACTACACAAAAGCTTTTTAGAAAATGACTTCATTATTTGTGCTAAGTACAGTAATTTTGCTGATCAAATGATCAAATATTAATGAGCAAAGGATTACAGGTCCAAGACCATATAAGTTCTCATGCATCCTTTTCATTTCCCATTTAATTCCCTATCTAAATACCCCTATCTCTTAATTACCCTCTAAAGGCTAAACAAGCCTAATCTTCCAGATAAAGCATAACAAGTACCCCAAAACTATTCAAGATAACAAAGAGAAGGAATTTATTCACCCAACCAAAAAAGTCCTAATTCTTTTAATAATAAATAAAACAAATACAAAATATCACATCATTAGAACAGGTTATTAAGTGGCTCCCAGACTTAATGTTCTTTACACCTGTGTGTATGGTCCCCTTCATTCACATTTTCTATATTCAACCAAGCCTCAATACTGTAATCTTATTTTGATTCCCTATCCAATCCAATTTACCTTCCCTTTGCCAAGATTACTTCAATCTATTACCAAATCCCTCCAAGCTTACTTGTGCCTCCTCGTTCCTTCACTAATGCTCCCTGCCTTTAACTTCAGCAGTTGTGAAAGTTAGCAGACAGAGATTCTCAACATTTCCAACATAATTACTTACAAATCTAGAGTAGCTATCTGCAGGGACTGCTGCAAAACAAAGGAGGTGGCCTGGTTATGTAAAAGGTCATCTCCAGGCTCCTGTCTTGGACCCTACATTATCGCTTCTCCATTCCAACCCTGTTTCATGAAAACCATCTGTATCTGCTGCATTTCCTAACTCTACAGATCTGGCTCCTATTTTTCTCATTAGTGAACCTGCCCTGACAATTTCTACATCTCAGCCATGACCACTTTCTTCTCAAATTCTCTTCCCTTGTCTTATATGGCCCCCATGACCTCTTCTCCCAGTTGAGGTTTGGTTCTGCCTTTCCTGCTCTCCTAGTGATCTAAATAAGATGCATTATATATTTGTACTAAAAAAAGTTACATTTTATACTAATTCATATAACCAGCTTCCAACTTGGTAATCCTGATAACATACAAGCCACTTAAAATTTTGTTTAAAACAGAATGAAACAGGGCATGACTGGTAGACGTTACTTAAAAATTCAAGGACTCAAACAATATGCCCTGGGGTCAAAATTTTAAGATTTGATAGCTGCTGATATGCACTGCCTGCTCAGGGAATGTCACTGTCTTATGATGACTCATCCACTATAAAGGCATACTATGTGTAACATCAGCTTGACCCTTGTACTCAACAAATGTTACAAATTTCAAATTATTTATAGTGAAAATCAGGGATGCTTTGTACAACCAATTAGTTATATAACAAGGGATTTTATCTTCTAGTTTAGTCTAAAAGAAGAAAAAAGACATATACATACCCACTATCACAAAACAAAATTGAAGGTATTAAATGTCCTAACTATAAAAATTAAATGTCATATAATTTAGTGTGCTAGAAAAAAATGCCATTTGTTTCAGGAAGACATAGATTTATACATGGGAATATAATTTTGATACTTTTACCTTAAGTAACCTAAGAACTGAGATCAGCTCAAAAAGATTTACAGTAGTTACAAACCTCTTCTCCTTGATTTATCTGTTCCTTTGTTCTTTCTTTTGTTTCCATAATATATGAATAATCTTCCTTCATCTGCTCAAGCTGGGTTGCTTTCATGAAGAACTGTATCAATAAAAAGAAACATACACTTAGGACTTTGTAGGCATTTTGTGCAAAAAAAGGGGGGTACATTTTAGCCCCCAAAACTTTTAAACCATTTGCACAGAAAGCACTAAAAATGTTAAGCATGTATACATAAACACAGAAAACAAATCATATTTCACATTAAAATTACTGAACCTGCTAGAACCACATCTACACAGTCAACTGCAAACACTCTTAACACCCCATGAAGGAAATTCCTTAAAGTATGAAAATAATACAACTTGGAAATTTTAAGAACTCCTACATTTTCACAAATCCTTTTTTCAAAGTATAAATGGCACTGCATTCCTATCTTTGACCTTAATGCATCCTAAAATAGGAAGTATCAAAATTCATTCAGAAGACTACACACTAAGTTTTAGTAGTAATCAAATAATTTTTTAGCTTTAAAATTTTAAATGGTTTAAAATTTGTTAAGTTATTAAGTTATATGTGGCCAACTGTTTGTTTCACTGTATTTCCTTAAAGTTTATTTGAAAAAATAATAATCTGTTCTTTTAGAATGAAAAGTCAAATTTAAAAAAAAATGAAGACATACCAAAAAAATTATACTTGCATCTTACTTGGCCACGTTTAAATATATTTTACAATATTCTTTAAGTGGGTGATTCTGAAGGGGGAAAAAAAAAAAATCTCAGTATCCAGTATCTGAGCAAGTTTCTATGTATCTACAACCATGACCTTAGTTAGGTTTATAGTTTATTCTCTTACTTTGTATTTGTCTCCCTCATTTTTGGATTGTAAGAACTGCTTACTCATCTCTTGTGTTAAAACAGAAACTGGGTTGTCCACCTAAAACAAAATTTTTAAAAAGGGCATTAAGAAATATTTCATTATAATGCTTTAAACCAAACTATACATTTTTAAATGACCAGTGGTCAATCAAGAAAGCTAAGCTTATTAATTTATAAGCTTATAAGTTTATAACATTAGGAATAAAATATAAAGAACAATGCTACACATTTGTAATATTTTATTTCAAAATAAACAATACCAAAATATATTGTAGCCATATTCAGCATTCTACTCCAAAACATATAAGCTCAAGAAGACTCCTACATGCCTTTACCGGTTTGTCCCACAAGCTAGGGAAATGGCTTAGTGGGTAAAACACTTGCTATGCATGCATGAGAACTGAAGTTCAGAGGCCCCAGAACCCATGTAAAAAGCCAACAGGAATGGGAGCCAACTTTAACCCTAGCATTTAGGGGACACAAAGGGTCCTGAGGGCAAGCTGGCCAGCCAAACGAACATGAATCAGTGAGCTCCAGGGACAATGAAAGAACCTGATTCAATAAAGTGGAAAGCAACTAAGAACACACAAAGTCACCTCCACACAAACAAGCACTCATATATATATATATATATATATATATATATATATATATATATATATTGCATATAAATATACATGCATACTATAAATACACATGCACACACACACATACACACACACACACACACATACCCCCATACACACGCACATACCCCAAACACCACACGCCAAAAAACAAAAATAGACTTTTCACTTTCATATAGATTACCACTTAATGTCACCACCATCAAAGGGCAATATAGGTAAATACGTGAGTCAGCTTTCCTGCATTCTAAATTTAATTCTGTCCTTATCCCTATTTGCTGCAGTCATTGGCAAGTCAGTGAACTTTTTCAATACACAAAGAAAGTTCAGCCCAATTACCTGTGACCAAAACCATGATGCCAAGTACTGTTTTTTCACAGCAGTGCATAAGATTTCTCATGTCTTTCTAACTTTGTGAGGATAATAGAAAAACCAATAGATCTCGTTTAACAATAGGAGTACAAGTCATTTTAAATAAGCCATACCTTAAACAAAAGTACAGTTAGCTACCAAAATATGTAAGGTGAAAAGGTTTTAAATACATATTCTGCTTTGAAAGATTCAGGGTGCTTATATAACAACAACTATGGTACTATTGACAAAGCAATTTATGATGCTAAAAATACTCACAGGTTAATTAACAGGACAAGTATAAGAAAGAAACTTCAACTATTCATTTTAACATTAAGAATAACAACTGTTGAAATTTTTTCCCCTTGGTTTCTCTGTATAGTTTTGGATCCTGTCCTAGAACTTGCTCTGTAGAACAGGCTGGCCTGGAACTCACAGAGATCCACCACCTGCCTCTGCCTCCAAGTGCTGGGATTAAAGGTGTGTGCCATCAATACTGGCTGACGACTGTTGAATTTTTAAGTAAAACAATGTTTCTAAAAGCACCTCCTTTTAAGTAAATGCTGATGCTTTTTACTGCATTAAAAAATGCTCACAGTTCAGTGTGGTGGTACTCATCTTTAACTCCAGCACTTGGGAGGGGAGGCATACAGGAAGATATCTGACAGCCTGACTACATACCAAGTTCCAGGCCAGCCAGAGCAACAACACAGTGAGTCTGTATTTCAAAAGAAAGAAAAGGGGGAAGGGAGCAAGGACTATGCTTCAAGACACCCCTTTCTCCCCTTCCCCCCCCCCACCCCTGTACCTGCCCCCAGCAACCTTAACTATCTGACTTCTTGGAAAGAAGACCTGATGTTATTGTCAACACCTGGCCATCAGCTCGTGATCAGTAGCACTACCTAAGTTTATACCGTTCATTAGTCATGAAATGAACCTGAGTCCCTATACTGCACAGAAATTTCATACCATTATTAAATAAATTTTAACAAGATACTCTTCACTATGCTAACAAAGCCAATGCACTAAAAATAGAGCACATATATTCTATCAATTTACCATGAAGCCATCTTATTTACTTATATGCATGGCACAGGCAAATATCACACCAAACCAATAAAATGATAGTTTCATAAATTAATCTGAAAAACAAATTTAGTATTACCTGGATGTTAAAATGGTCAAGAATTGCAATCAGCTCTTCTTTCCTGGTAGAAACCACGGTGCCTGGTTATAAAAACACAAAGACCAGGGGAAAAGTACAATTATCTAAAAATGCAAATATAGAGCACCTTTTGTCAGGCCAACAACAACAAAAAAATACTAGTAAATACATATAGTTTCAAGATGACATATTAAGTCATTATACAAATAGAGGGTAGGAAAACGCATACATGCAGTAACAGTGTATGTGTCTTCTTCCTGTGGGTCCTAGCCAGTATCTTAATAACTAAACACTCACCTCCCCTTTAGTGCCCTTTCCTACCTTCTGCTAGCTGTAAGCTATAGAAATCAAGGGAAAGAAAAGAACCCTACAGTTGAAAACAAAATGACACAACCTACTTCAAATTAATTCAGTTAAACATGGTATTGATTTTGTCTTATAGTAACAACTAAGTGTAATATACACATGTGCGTGTGTGTGTGTGTGTGTGTGTGTGTGTGTGTATTTGTACGACCAAGCAGGTACAAAGAGGTTTCAAGAGACTAGAAAGATATCACAGGGACAATCATAAGAACTTTTAACTATTTACTAATATTTCATAAGATATAAGAAAACCAACAAACCTTTTTCACTTTTTAGTTTGTAAGACCGACTTCCATCTACACTAATGTGTTGCTGCACAACTATAGAGTCGCCGTACACATTTGCCCGGAAGGCATCATCTCCTCTGTTCCGTAACGTTATTGAGATGTCTGCTGAGCTGAAACAATGAGGTTAACCTGAGTTACATGATGGCACAGTGCAACATGTTAGATTCAATACCATAAGCAACCTACTTAACATGTTAGATTAGCTAAGGGTCATCACTATCACATAATGTTAAAGACACTGTATCAGACAGAAAAATACAGCTGAGAATAAAAGCAGGCGATTCATGTGAGCACTTGATAAAATATTAATGCCTTCTCATACAGAACTATTTTAATTAAATGAAATCTTTGATGAACTTCTTAATGGATTTGTCAATAAACTCCATCCTTTAACATTTACAGGAAACACAGGAAAAATATTAAAGATGAACTTCTCTGTACACCACAGATGTGACAGGAGATACCCATCAGCATTTCTGTACTTCGCCACCTATCCCCCAAAACTGGGCTAAATATACATAAGTCTCTTAATTATTCAAGTTCAAGAAATAAGCCTACACTTCAGTTAAGACTCCTTAATGTGGATTACATAGCTTGGTTAGAGACATCTTAGTGAACCTTAATCAACAGTGGTGAGAAACATAGAAGAAACACTACACCATCTTTGCAACACTTCATTAAATCTAAAATAAATTTTTCTTAATTCAAATTTCAACATGACCAAACAAAGGAATGATGATGGTGCATTAGAGCTATAGTTTTGAGGTCTCAACAATGAAACCAATCTGATGAAGTGATGAAGCCTGCAGAGAAAAGCAGGAGCTCTAGGGAAATGAACCTAACCGACTGACAAAAGAGGCATATACTCCAGTCACTGACTGAATCAGAAACAAACAAAACTCACTTCCTCCATGCTCATACCAAATTAAAGTATTAGTTAGTAAGGCCTGCACACATGGAGTCTCAGTGGCCAAGACTAAAACGAGGAAGAAGAAACAGAACATAAACTCCACAAAGTCACACACTCAGTCATCACAAAGAGACAGGAAGGGAAGCTAAGAAACACAGTAAAGTAGAACCATCCAGGAAAAGGGATTGGTGGTGGTGGTGTATGCCTTTAATGCCCGCAGAGGCAGGCAGATCTCTCTGAGTTCAACGCAAGTATGGACAGCTAATGCTACACAGAGAAACCCTGTCTTGAAAACAAACACACGCAAGGACCAGAAAGATGGTAGAGAACAAAGGAACTACAAAGACACACACACACACACACACACAAATTAGCCAGAGAAAAAGAAAATGAGGTCTGAAATAACATCTAAAACTTTTAAATTAATAGTCCCAATTATTCTATTTTATTATACTTAGCTATGGACTTCAAGAACTGGTCTACCTGCACAGGTAATGCACCCATCTATTAAAATAAAGGAGTGATTCTCAGCCATCCTAATGATGAGATCCTTTCATACAGTACCTCACATTGTGGTGACCACCAACCACAAAATTATTTTTATTGCTACTCCATAACTATAATTGCTTTTGTCTTGAATTACATTGTAAATATCTGTTTTCCAATGTTCTTAGGTGACACTGATGAAAGGGCTGCTCGACCCCCAAAATGGTCTCAACCTACAGGTTAAGAACCAATATAATAAAACTTCAATAAAAAAATTTTAAGGTACCATGATTTTACACTTTCAGTATCAATTACATTCACTTACCTGTCACTACTTAAAAAAAAAAAAAAACTAAAACTGGAAAAAAAAAATAAGTTTTACTAGTTAAAGTACAAAACCCTAAGCAAAACTCCAATGCTTTACATAGCCATTCTAACTATATAAAAAGTCATAAAACTGTAAAACAGTAATAAAAACCAGTGACAAATATTGGAGTTCAAGCTGATGGTCTGATGGTAAGAAAAGCAAAGCAACCAGCCAGTAGCTCTTACCACTACCAAGGCTGAAAGGGAGATACATGTTCCCTGTGACTGGAAACTGAATCCCACATGAGACCCTTTGCTTCTTTCTTATATACCTCTCTAGTGCTGGGATTAAAGATGTGAGCTCTGTTACTCTTTTAGACTGACTCATTTATCCCTGGGTGGTCTTGAACTCAGAGAGATCCATTTGCCTGTCTCCTGAATCCTGGAATTAAGTGTGCCACCAACACCCAGCTTCAATGGCTATGGCTAGCTTTGTATTCTGATCCCCAGGCAATCTTTATTAAATCACAAATAATTTATCACCACATAAATCTGTACAGAATTTGTGACTGAGTGTTTGACTGGCCTCCTTAAACTAGCCAGGCAAAGTTTTTCCACGAGATGTTTTATGTCTCATTAAATCCTTTAACCTCTCCATTTGGGAAGTACTGGGACTCAACCATAAATTTCTGAGACATGTTGTGACTACAGTTTAAAAGCTACTAGCTTATACAACAACTGATTTTCAAGGATAATTGCCATAAGAGGGAACATGTATATAGCTTAAAGCAGTAAAGCAGAGATAACAATAGAAAATAATTAGTTCTGGGAGACTAAGCTGTAACTACACAGCCCTAGCTGGCCTGGAATCCCCAGCAGTCCAAGCTGGCTTAGAAATAGAGCAAACATCAAGTCTCTGTCTCCCCAGTGCCAACATTACAGGTATGGAGCATAATGTAGTTTTAGTAACCTTTCTTTAAACAGGAGCTAAAAGACCCTTTAAAAATGTGTTACCAGTCAGAACTGCTAGCACACACCTTTAATCCTAGCACCTGATCTATGAGTTTGAGGCTTGCCTGGTCTACATAGCAACAGGGCTACAGTGAGGCCCTGTCTCAAAAACAATCACCTCATTAAGAGATTTTTTTGTTTTGTTTTGTTTTGTTTTTTTGAGCTGGGCATTGGTAGCACACGCCTTTAATCCCAGCACTCAGGAGGCAAGGCAGGTGGATCTCTGTGAGTTCAAGGCCAGCCTGGTCTACAGATCAAGTTCCAGGACAGGGTCCAAAACAATACAGAGAAACCCTGTTTCAAAAAAAACAAAAAATAAAAACAAAAAAAGAGCTCTCCTTTTTTTTCTCCCACTGCCTCTGAAGTATTTAGTGACCACAAAGCTCTTTGCTTTTTGATGACTTATGTCTGCATACTAGGCTGCTCCACTGAGGGTCCCAGTCTACCTTACTATGTCTACATTGAAATCTATACACCTGTCCCTTTGCAGCCTGGTCTGCCTGCTCCTAAAGTTGTCCTAAAGACAACATGTTTAGAGAAGAAGGCCAACAGAAATAGTTGTTGGCATAGAATTCAGTAAGATATGTAAAAACAAAAACTATACTAGAACACTGTCTTCAAATACTTCTTTTCCAAGTCAAGTATGGAAAATGATTTCCTGTGTATCTTTTGTCTTGTATCAACTAGGAATCCTGGATTAAGGTTCCTAAATTCCTCAGCAATATATATGTGAGAAACAGGCATTCTTCAATTGTATTATATTCCTACTCTAAAGTATTAAAATAATGAGAAAAATGGAGACAACACCAAACAGAAAGAAATTTGTGTCATATTCTGTCATGTATTAGTATCAATTATCAAAGTTACCATCAGACAAATGTAACAGGTACACAACTGTAAGAGAATGTAACAAAAGTTGGGCATTATTATGAGAAGATAAGGCCCCTCTTGAGGGTATCTTGGGTAGTATCAAAAACAAGAGGAACCAGGGGTGCAGCTCAGTGGCACAGCCCTTGTCTAAGAGAAGGGAGAGCAAAGAAAGTTAGGAAGAAGGAAGACAGCACCTGCCTGACTCCCCAGGCTTCAACAGCAGCGATATAAAACTATACAAGTGATAGAGTGTATGGAAGCAATGTCTGATCTGATGGAAGTATCAATGCAGGCAGACACAACCGAATATACCTACAATTCCAGCACTGGGAGGGCAAGAGGTAAAAGGACAGGAAGTTCAAGACCAACCTCTGCTACATAACAAGTTAAAGGACAGCCTATGCTACACGGTATCCTATTCAAAAATAAAAAACAGAAAGAATATGAATATTAAACTATAAGGCAAGGGTCTACACAGTACACTTAACTTTGATCCTAAAATCATATACACTGAATAAAAGAAATAGCCAGAGATAGGATACTTTTGTAGAAGTCACAGAAAGCTAAAGAAAGAAATTCTGCACAGAACAAGTTGACTCATCACTGACTTTGCTCTCATCCCTATCACATTAGCATGATTGCTGATACCAAGTTTAGGCCAAAACCCACAAAGGTATATAATATTTATAAATATTCATTTCAAAATACATTAAATTTGCCATTATCATTTCTTCCATAAAAATAACAAATTTAAATGGGCAGTACACAGTACCAAGTAATTCAGGCTATCTGACTAGACGATAACAGTAAGAAGGCCCATGGCAACAAGAGCAGGACAAAGTACTAAGATAGGAAACCTCTCCTTGGATACACCCACTCTCCAGGGTTCTAAAGCATGCTTCAAAGAGAATAAAAGCCCAGCAGAGAACACTTACTTCTGTCCAGCTTTCACAAAACCTTTTAAAGAGGATCCTCTATTAGTAGCAACTGCTTTTCCACCAAGGCCAACTATGAGAGCGGTGAGTACAGCACTCTTTCCACCTAAAGAAACACATTTAAAAATTCACAAAGAGAAAATGCTAACTTTACAACTTTATTCAAAAGGACAGCCGCATCTGTCAATCTGAAGTGAAATGTTACAAATTCAATTATAATTTTCCTTCGGTGCTAAGGTGGCAAACTAAGAAAAGTTCCACATTAAGAACTACCTCACTGTAGCCAGGAGGAAAATTTTATACATTTCAGATACCAAATTTGTACCCACAATAAGTAGGAAAATGGTCAATATCTTTCCAACCCAAAACTCAATCTATCATCTTGGTGAATCAAACTACCAAATACATTTACATATGTAATTAAGTTACAAAATTTGCCATTTATCCTAATTTAATTATGTCTACTCCTTTCATCACAAAAGAAACTTTTAACTATCTCTCAAATTGTAAGAAACTCCACATGGGAAAGAAAGCATGTCTCTTTCAATATATGATGTATCTTGGAAATCAGCACATGTATTCACTGAACACATTAAACAGAAAAAAAATTAGAAAATCACATATTTCTAATTTAATATTTTGACAATTTTTAATTCAATATCTTAAACTTTAACATTGACCCTTAATTTTAATATTCCTGCCCCTTATGTTTAATTCTGAAGTGTAATTCTTTTTATTCTAAAAGATATAAAACACCACTTTTAAACTCCACTTTTAAACTCTTAACAGATTTTAGCTTAACAGATATAGCAACCACTTTCTGAATTTCATCATCCACCAATCAATTAACAATTATCTCCTACAACATAACACCAAATTAGCCAACAGAGAATAATGATTATCTTAATTTAGCTCCTGGAATGCCTTTCAAGTTCTTACTCATTTTTTCTCTGCTACCAGGTATAATGCTTTAGTTAATTCTCCTTTATTAAGGTTTATAAAAGAAACCACTCAAACTTTTAAAAGTACACAACTTGGAGAAACTATGATTCTTTCTTTACTTCTTGCACTTTGCAACCTCCCTGTAATAATGACCCTTTTCTCCATTCACACTCTCCTGCTAAAATCTCTTCCTTCTTCACTGAATGACAGAGGCAGCAATAATAAAGAAAAGGGACTATGGAGCCACACATACCTAATTTCCTTGCATGGTAATGTCATTAGGTGGTACACTGTACATTATCTCAGTCACTCCTGATACCTGCCACAATGTAGCTAGTCTGTCACAATCTTGCCCATGTCAACCCATCACTCAGAAGTTTTTAACTGACTACCCACTGTCCAATGAATAAGACTCTAAAATCTTTACCAAGCCTTTAAGACCTTCAACAATCCTATATACAATTCTGTCATATTCTACCTTTCCACATCATGTACTGTATGATACAACACAAAGTTAAGTCCTATTCTCCATATACACCTCCTATCCTCTAAACATTTGAGAATGAGCCTACTGTGCCTAAAACATCTAAGCTTCTTGACAAATGAGTCTTAAGAAATCTTTAAGTTTCATCCAAGTACCAGCAAAAACACATATCCTCATAAAAACCACTGATGATAACAATGGAATGTCACTTCCATTTTTTGGATTTCTAATGCACTTCATCTGTGCCTTATCTAGTGTTTATACCAGGTCACTGTGGTATCTTCTACTGAGAGGACAGGAGGCTCCTTAGACCCAGAAGTTTGAGGTGAGCCTGAGCAAAGCAACTGAGATTCTATCTTAAGAAAATGAAAGGGAAAGGAGGAAGGAAGGAAGGAAGGAAGGAAGGAAGGAAGGAAGGAGAGGGAGAGGGAGGGGGAAAGGGAAGGAGAGAGAGAGAGAGAGAGAGGGGGGGGGAATGGTATATGAATGAATATATGGAATGAAGAAAGAGATGGCATAGTGGTTAAGAGTACTTGCTGCTCCTGGATAGAACCCAGGTTCAGTTCCCAACACCTGGCTCACAACCATCTGTAACTTCAGTTCCAGGGGATTGAAAGCCATCTTCTGACCTCTGAGCCTCTGAGAGCAATGCATGCATATAGTCCACATAAATGCACGCAGGCAAACAGTCATATACATAAAAATAAATAAATCTAAAAGACAACAGAAAAAAGGGGAAGAAATGTGTATACCTACTACTTAAATAACATATCTAAAATAATTTAGTATTTTCTTGAAGTGTAAATTAAGTACTGTGAAGCAACAAAGTTTAGACCCAAATATTTATCAGCATTAACAGTCATCTATTTAACAAAGCTCATGCAATATCATCACAAAGTAGAGTACAAAGAGGGCAAAGGCACTTACTTCCATTGTTGCCAACAACGAAGTTGACATTAGAACCAAATTTAAAAGGTCCAAGCATTGAGTGGCACATGAAGTTTCTCAGCTGAATACTCTCAATGATTCCAACTTCTGCTGCAGTCTGTTAACAACAAAGAAATTGGGGGAGAAATCAATCTTTCTAATCCACGCACTGCTAACACCCAAGCATTAGACAGACCAGCAGTATTTATCAATAAACAGTTATATCATGAGCAACAATAACTTTAATGACCGTAATTAAATAATGCAAATTTTCTTTAGGTTACCACTAGTTCTACAAACTATCTGCCCTATGTTTGACGATGGAATTCATTCTCTGACATGGCATTCCAGTTTTGTAACAGAGAATTCAAAGAGCATTGTACCCAAATCTGTAAAGCAAAAAATAAAAGCTCCCATATTATAAATGTTAGGATTGAGATTATTATAAAATTTTTTCATCAGTATTTGGCCAACAGTACTCAGCTGTACTCTACAGATGTTAAGTAGCAGAATAAACCAACCAGATTTTCAGTCCTAACATTTCAGAGACCATTTTAATGTAATCACCAATTTTAATGGGTTCTTCTGAAACTCCATCTTAACTCTAGCCTATACCTTATTAAAAAGCAGAGAATATTTACATTATTGCACAAGGAAGAGATCATCAGGTATTTCTGATTCATAAATTTCTAAGAATATGTTTACTTTATGGTAAAGAGTCACATGCAATTATTAAGAAATGAGACTCTATGTGCTCTTCCCTCAGCTTCTGCCAATGGGCAGTTTAATAAAGCACAGTTATCTCAGGCAAGACATGGACACTGACAGTCTACACACACTGTTTCCCTCACAAGCAATCCCTTAAGTTGTAAGGAATCATAATCACGATGACATCCCTTTCAACACACACCAACCACTTATCCACTAGTCTCTTCTTTATTTCTGTAAATGTTATTCCAAAAATGCCAACTAAATGCACTTAACACAAAACATAATCTTTGGGAACCGGCTTTTTCTGCTCAGCTTAATTGTCTGCTGTTGACTCTGCCATGGCTAAGCAGTATTTCACGAAATGGATGTACCACAGGGTGGTAGTCACCAAATCACAAGTGCACTTATTTTCAATTTAACTTTTTGTGAATAAGCTAATAAAAATATGGGACATTGTGTACTAAAATAAATTTCTTGGGAACAAATGCTAGGTCATATTGCAATTTTCTATTGTTTTTCACAGAAACAAACTTTCCCCAGTAGTGGTAACAAGTTACATCCCATCAGCAATGCACGAATGATTCAGCGCATTCTTGCCACCTGATGATACCACTAATTTACACTTTAAAATTCTAATAAGTATGCAATGATAGTTCAGATTTAAGTGTGAAGGACAACTATAGTGGGTCAAGTCAATTATCATGGCCTCTATTCTATTCATAGTATTGGCAATTTACTTCTCAATTTCCTACTGGTCTTACTACAGGTTTGCCAATTTTATTTAAAAGATTTAGTTATTTGTCTGTCCCATTATTTTCTTCAGAATTTCTAATTATTAACATAAACTTCAAAATCAGAAGCTAATTTTACCCAGCTCTTTAAAACTCTTATGCTTTCTCCAGACTACAAATTATGAAATATGATATATAAAATGACCATGAGAAACAAACTAATTGAAAGGCATTATTTTGTAATTCTGTGCTTACCAAAGTAGAGGTTCCGTTAGTGAAAGAAATTGTACATTCATCTTCATCTCCATCTTTATCAAAATCTTCCAGTTCTTGTCTTGGCCTTTTAGCATTTTCAGGAGAGCAGAAATTTTCTTCCTTTCTTTTGGCCATCAGATCTGAACAAACATTTACAGTAACAACAACATAAGCCAAGGACAGCTATAAAGACGATTCAGTAAACACTTTACAATATAAAATCACACAAAACTCCTTTAATTTTAAGGAAAAAGATCCCCTTGAACCTCCAAAAAGAAACGCAACCCCACTAATGTAGTTGTTCCTTAAGACCTGAGTTCGACCTCTAATTTCCAGACATGTCAGAAAGTAATGTTACAGTATCTTAAAAGAAACACCACCACATGAGTCGAACACTTCAGCTGATTTTACCTCACAGTTACTCATGGTTATAAATTAAGAGCCTAGCTGAATATTTTCTTCCCATACCCACTAAAGGGAAAAATATTTTATTGGTAAAAACTCTGTCTTCTAGTTTCCTATAAGTCAAGAGGACACAGTCCCTCCTGAAATTATTACAGCATTCAACTGCTATAACTTATAAAGTGGTATTAATCAAATAAAATTTGATTTTTTTAAAGTATTTCCCAAAGGAAGAAATTTTGAAGCAGTGATATCTCACACTAGTAGTTTCCCTGTTCCCTAGATAGTCCATTCCAATTGTCATAAACAAAGTACTTAAAAAACACAACAGACACTGCTCTTGCCAAAGTCATGAACTAAAAACAAGAAAGTTAGAGCAGTAGGGACGTAAGGATCATAAAATGATTTGTAGACTTGATGTTCAGAATGCGGTTCAAAGACCCTGGGAGCTGAACAGATATCCCCAGTCCCGGGCCCCATATTAGAGCATGCAAATAAGACCCTTGATAAGACTTTAGGTGATGCAAAAGCAGTTTTATACAATTTGAGAACTGGTAAATCACACTTCTAAGAGACTTGGACTCTGTGCCACTCTGACATCAAGTATCTTTAATAAAAGGTATAGTAGCAGCCAAAGGACATTTAACCTAGACCAATACTTTTCCAGGGAATATTACCATTAAGCACAACTGTATCATATTAGCAACTTTCTCTGCAAATAGTTTAATATTTATCTCAAATCTCTTATAGAAGCCAAAACTTCAAAACCAAGAATCTTTTTATCAAATAACTTAATCACAAGAATCAATGTATATTAGGTTTAGCTTGTGGCTAATTTAAATTCCCCAAATACCACCAGGTCATTATTTCCCAGCGACACTTTCTGTCTCATCCACTCTTTATTCCTTTACCAGTTATTCGGTAATAACATAAATTACTAAACAAAGAGAGGCATTGTTTTTATTAATGACTCACAGATGATCTGACAGAAAGAAAGCACTCAAAAATAGCCTGGCTTACTTAAGTACTTCATCCCTAGAAAGCAGTTTGGCAAGTAAAACTGGGATGAGGTAGGTATATTAAGATAAGTGTGATGAATCTGCACTGTACACAAGAATCTACACTACACAAGAGATACTACATTCAAATACCTTATACTGAGGCTGCTTTTTATTTGATGGTTATAGCCTGGGATTAGCATTCTGCTAGGTTTTCAAGATAACTTGCATCTGAGACACAGAAGAATCCTCCTAACTTTTAAATAGAAAGTACTTTGAAATTTAAAGACAACAGACTTACAAAAAACATGTATGAGTGTCCTGAGTATGAGATATAGGCAATAAATAGTAAACCATTATTACTAACTAGATAAAAGACACAACATATAAAAAGGGAAAGATTCCTCTGAGACCTTGAGTATACTGAAAGAGTAATATCATTTATTTTACTTACCTACAATTTTTAAATTTTAGTTGTTTTGGTTTGTGTGTTGGTTTAAGACATGGCCTAGCTATTCAGCCCAGGCTATCCTGGAACTTGAGTGCTGGGATTACAGTTTCGTGCCATAGCCCTAGAAAAGTGTCACCTCTTCTCGTCTAAGAAATAAACTTTAAAGCAGGAACAGTGAAGAACATCCAAAAAAGTTAAGAAGAAAAATCAGTAACTAAGGGTTGAATGAAGCATTAAGATACACATGAAATTTTAATGACATCCTATAAGTTTTAGCAAGATTAAAAAATTTGGATTCCTGAGCTTTAATTTTTTTATATGTAACTCATACTTCCCATTAATGACAAAGTAGAGATTAATAGTAGTGTCTAGGGTAACAGGATTAGACTTATTTAATTCTATAACTATTAGAACTAAGTTTTTGTTTGTTTCTTGGTTTTTTTTGTTTGTTTGTTGGTTGGTTTTCTCTGTGGCTTTGGACCCTGTCCTGGAACTATCTCTGTAGATCTCTGCCTCCCAAGTGCTGGGATTAAAGGCATGTGCCACCACCTCCCAGCTAGAGCTAAGTATTTTTAAATTACTTTAACTACCGCTACCTGAGGCAGAAGTGACAGATTCAGATATCTGCTCTGAACAGTGTTTACCACATCCCTAATTGTACTTTTCTCATCTACAAAATGCATTCATTCTATATTAAACAACCTTAATGTACTGAATTAACACAGTGTTTGGAATATATTACAAAATCAAATGAGGTTAACTAGATAATACAGTAAAACATTTTGTTAAGTCTAAACACCAAGAAATCCAAGACCAGCAGAAACTGGGAAGCCCTGTACTTTCAGGTAATTGACTTGAATATTCAAAATTGAGTTGAAAGCATAATATGGGATACACTAAGAATAATGCCAAAGTAGCAGCTTCTAATAAACTTCTAAACAAAAACCAGAGCAAGAACAGGGATGAAGCAGTGGTGATGACACCATATAGTTAAAAAGACTAGGTCAAAGTCTGAGTGAGTAGAATTAATATTTGTTGAGTTGCCTATGGTTAGCTCAGAAGTAAACTATATCCTGTGATCTCTTCATGATACAGATCATTCCTTATTCTACAAGGGAAACTGAAACACAAATGTAGTATTTCCACCAGGCATTGCTAGCGCTCATCTTTAATCCCAGCACTTGAGAAGCAGAGGCAGGTGGATCTGTGAGTTCGAGGCCAGCCTGGTCTACAGAACAAGTTCCAGGACAGGCTCCAAAGTAATACAAAGAAACCCAGCCTCAACCACCCCCCCTCCCAAAAAAACAGAAAATGTAGTATTTCCACCCGTATAGCATCTACTTAGTAACCAGATGCAGACAGAGCCATCCAGCTTATGTCCAGGTTCCTACTGCCATAAATTGAGTTTAGCCAATACTTGATTCACACTCCATGACTGACAATCTGTTATTTTCTTGCATGCCTCTTGAAAAACTAGAAAGAATTCTATTCTAAAGCGTTCCTCTCTGTTCCTTCAAATCACACAGTTTCACTTTTTCACTTAATGCCATCAACCATTATAAACAGACAATATTTGTCAAGAGGAAAGGATAATAAATTTGTTTTGTTTGCAAACACTTGAGTTTGAAGGGTTCGGAGGGATAGACTCTGAGATACTCTGCCATAGAAAGCAATCTAGAAGTGGGGGAAAGAAAATTAGGTGGTTTGAAGTTGGCAACCAAAGAAAGCATGCAGAGGGGAAAGGACCTAACTTGTCAATTTAAAGAAACACAGACCTGGGCTCATGTACACACAAAGCACAACTGACCACACTGGACCCTCAGGTGCCTGGTCTTACTGGGCTGGAAAGATGGCTCAGAGATGGCTCAGAGATTAAGAACACTGACTGTTCTTCCTGAGAATTTAAGTCTGAATCCCAGCACTCACATGGAGGTTTGCAGATCTGTAGCCACAATCCTAGGGAGCTAATACCTAAGTGGACACCGGGCATGTATATGATACACAGACATATATACATGCTGGAAAAACAGCCATACACATAAATTTCAAATATAATGCATTATACTATTCCAGTAAACTTTTTAGTTATCTATTATTTCTTGAAAGTAAGTCAACTACTGGGGGGGGGGGGTGTCCCTAAATGTTAAAGTAGCAATCTACCGCTGAAATACACTCCTAGACTGCCTACTATATCTTGATTGACTGTCCTAACAAAATGGTAGTTTTGGCACTTAGTAAAATAAACCTTCCAGCATTAACACTTGCTTTCCACTAACACCCAACAGGCTGTTTATACTGGCTTTTTGTTGAGCTCAATACTGAACACTTTATACTGAATTAATCTCTCAGGATTCTTGTGACTTACAACTCTGAGGTAAGGAGCTGGAATTATTCTCCAGAAAGTCTTATCTGCCTCGTGTGGGGGGAAAAAATGTTTTTAAGCAATTGCAAAAGGTCTCTAAGCTTACTATACACACTCAGAAAATAATTTCTGCTTTTGAACAGTTTTCCTCTGTATCCTGAGCTATATAACCCAAACTTTCCTGTCTCATCCCAGCTCCTTCTAACTGAGATTACAGGCCTGAGTCACCATTCCCAGCTCAGAAAAATCTTTTTTTTCAGGCCGGGCCTCATGTAACCCAAGCTGGCTTCAAGTTTGCTATGCAGCTAAGGTCCTTGATGCTCCTGCCTGCACCTCCTGGATACTAGGATTACAGGCCTGCACCACCACCAAGTTGCAAGTGATGGTGGGAACTGAACTCGGGGTGGGGTTCTGTGACTGCTGCTAGGCAAGCAAGCTACCATCAGCACTCTAGTCCCCAGGTCCCAGGGGAAAAAAAAAAATTACTAACTTAAATTTCAACATTAAAAAAAAACATCAGTTTCACACACTACCTGGATAAGTCTTAGGGGGAAATTCTAACACTTCATCACCCACTCCTCCCTCAAAAGTAGATGCTGGCCACTGCTGATTCTATCTTACATTTTTAAAGATCCCAGACTCCTTCTCCGAGTCAAGGAATATGGCTTTTCTAACTTTGAACAGACATCTCAGAAGAGCTTGCCTTTAAAATGCAAGCTTGGTCTTCTGTCTACTCTACACTAAGTGCTCACATAACTTATCTTAGGGCTTTAAATGTCAATTAATTGCTTTCTAGGAATCGGGAATCTCACCTCAAGCCCTAGCCTCCTAGAGTCCTTTCTCCACCCCCAGACCTGTTTTCTAGATTTGCCAATCAGGATTTCCCTCCAATTCCACAGTAATGAAGGGCAAGAAATGCCACCCAAACCTTTCACACACGACGGTTTCCTCTCCCTGGTCAATCCGAATGCTGTTTAGGGGAAACTGGATTTAACGGCAAACTCAGATTTCAGTGGCATTTCCAGTCGTGTCCCCTCCACCCCTCACCCGTCCACGGTACTGCGCATGGAATACCCAGCTCCGACGCCGGCCTCAGCCCCGGCCCGACCTCTGCGGCTGCCCGCCAACGCCCGGGCCGCCTGGGGACGCGCGAGGGCGGGCCGGCGCTCACGGCCAAGTTTCCCGATGTGGAGAGCGGCGACCCGCCGAGAGCGCGAAGGTCCCCGCGGCCCGCGCGCAGGCCCGACCCTCGGCACCCTCGGCACCCGCAGCTTCCAGGAGGGCCGAGGGCGGCCCGCCGAGGCACGGGGCTGCGGGCATGGACAGAGGGAGCGCGCGCGCCCTTACTCTACCTCCAACAAGTCGCGGTCGCCCCGGGGAAGGGAGTCGGCACGGCTGTCACGACGCGAAGGCCACCCTGAGGGCGTCCGACCTCGGCCACTGCTCGCCCGCCAAGCAGGGCGAACCCGCCCCGAAAGCAGGCGGGAGCCCCGCAGACAGGCGCCCGCCGCGGGACAGTCCGCGCCTGCGCCCCGCCCCTCCCCGCCCCCGGGCCCCGCCCGCGCCTGCGCGCTCCCGGCCTCTCGCGCCGCTCTGGTCGACGAGAGGGAGCCGGAAGTGCGCTCAGCGGGCGGGAGTGGGAGGGGCGGAGGAGGAAGCAGAGAGGCACGCGCCCCTCACGGCGGATCTAGACCGTGGAGGAAGCGGGTGGGAAGATCGCCGGGCGCCCTGGCAACAGGTCTACGCATGCGTCCGTGGGGCCGATTGCAAGAGGGGAAAGAGAAACCCCGAGGGAGCGAGGGGCGGGTTCAGGAAAGAAAGCGAACCGTTTCCCGGAAGGGGCGGGACTACTGGCAAGGGCGCTGGATTCGAAATTGCGGCCCTGCGCTTAGCAGTTGGGGATGCTGCTTGGGAAGGGCCTTTTGTTTTGATTGTTTTTGTTTTTTGTTTTAACTTTGGCTTGAAGGGATCGGGGACTTGAGGGCGGCGGTAGTTACTAGACTCCAGGCCCAGACTGGTAAATGACAGACGTGTTCCTTCCACAGCCGCGAGGAGGGGCTGTGTGGGTAAGTCCCGCGGGACAGGCTGAGGCCGGCCGGCCGGTGCTTGCACAGACTTCTAGAACGGAGGCGGGAGGACGAGCTCGCCCACAGCCGCCCTGCGGGGCCACGTCCCTTTCCTCCTGGACACCCCTCGCCTTCCCCGAGGCCCACTCACATGCCACTCTGCATTATGGTAGCAAGTGGGAAAACAGTTTTACAGCGGTCACCACTTGGGTGTGCCTGTGGGGTGGTATGTGTGGTCCTTTCTCCCCTACCCGCTCCACCCTCGGGTGGCCATAGATTTAAATAGCAGTTAAAGTTGTTCTTGGGCCTTCTCCCTTCGCCCCTTGACTCGATGCTAACCATCCATTCCGTCTTTACACAACTTCATCCATTTGCCTTTTTACCCGAGTAACCTCACTGTTTCAGCTTTCCTTCCTATGTCGGGGGAAGTGGCATTCGCTGTGTCACCCCAACCTCGGTGTGCAACCTCAGGTCTCCGGTAATGAAGTCAATTCCCTCATTCAAAGCCACCATTCATTTCAAAAAATAATGCGTCCTTTATCCTGGATTGGTGAAAAGTATGGCATCATCAAAGTAGACTAACCATCCTTGTAGCTAACGGGAACAGCCTCTGGCAGTACTATCATTATATTAAAATGCTGATTTGTGTCCCTCTATAGCTTCAGTCTACCAAGATATTTAAATCCAGACCCTAAGTTTTACTTTATCTCCAGCACCTAGGCATATTCCTAATAAATACTAATAGGTAAAATCAATATGAGCCTCAGAGTTTAAATTCATATGACAGGATAACTGGAAGAAATTTAAAACAGCACAACTTGGTGAAATGATGTGGTAAATCCCATGCAGTTACAGGAAGTTTATATTGTTTGCTAATCTTTATATGAAAGTATAGTTGACTAATGCGAATTTGGAAATTTGACTATTTCCTGTCCCTTCATTCAACTTTGACAGAGAAGAAAATATGCCTTAATAAAACGTGTTTTTGCATAAATAAAGCTATTGGCTTCTTTTTATGTTCTTTACATTTGATTCATTAGTGGAATTAGCAAGGGTCTGTGCTTTTCTCGCCTCGTTCAGTTTTATAATTAACCAATAGAAACTTAATAGCTTCTGAGGAAGCTTTAGGAGCACAAATGGATTTATGGGCGCCATATGGTTACTTCAAAGGATCTGTTTTTTGTTTTATCTTGAAGTAGATTCTTAGGCCCTTTGTTAATGTAGACACTTATTTTCTATCAAGCAATAGTCTGGGTATTCCTGCTACCAAAACTGATCTTGAAGGTCAGAGGATGTTAGAATTTCATCATGTGTCTGGTTTAATATGTCTCCTTTCCTAGAAAGGCTGGTGGTCTCTCTGAGGCTATAAGGTTGATCAGTAGTATATCCAAAACACAAACCCTCGAAGTATGGACTCCAATCAAGATACATGAAGCTATTCATAACTTATACAACTATTTCCTATATATCCCAACTTTGTTGATTCCTTTCTTTTATACAACCAATTCTCAAAAATTAGAAATATGTTAGGAGACAAATTTATGTTGACTGCATCATCAGAGTGACAGTAGTAGTTATAATAAAGAGGCTTGAATAGAAACTCACCAAGTTGCATGGTTTTGGAGGATGTAATAGCTGTAGTATTTTTAAGTTTTACTTAATGCTAATCTTTCTTCAAGTAAGGAATATGGCCTGATCAAAAACTGTCTGTACTGTCTTTTAGTGCAGTTACACATCCTAAGCACTGTTCCATTTGGTCTCATGGTGTTTTACAAGCTTCTGTAGTCTAACTATTGCTATGCAATATCACTTCAGAGAAATGACTGGTACTAAGAGTACGTAGCAGTGAATGGTGGCTTAATTTAAAGATTTTGGATTAACTGCATTCTTAAAACAGGTTGTATGTACTTTCTAACACAGTACATTGGGTGGGCTTCAAGACAGCACGGGTTTTTTTTTTAAGATTGTAGAATTGGAGAAAATCCTAAAATGATATTTTTTAAAAATAGCTAGGCATGAACATGCCTTTAATCTCAGCACTATGTAGGAAGAGGCACTCAGATCTCTGAGAGTTCAAGGCCAGCCTGGTCAACATAGTGAGTTCAGGATAGCTAGAATCATACAGTAAGACCCTACGTCAAAATAAATGTGTGTGTGTGTGTGTGTGTGTGTGTGTGTGTGTGTAGTATATATAAACATATATTGTAGATGTATATATGTTAAACTTATAGTACATAATTTTATAATGTTTGTATTTCCTTATAAAATAGTCACCTTAATTGGTAAAAGCGATATTTTAATAATTTATTTTTTCAAACATGATTGTTCAGGCTGTTATGGAGAGAAAAACTGTACACAAATGGGGAAAAAGTAAAAAGAAGCTGGGACTCTAATTACAGACTTACAACTGTATATAGCAGAGTTAGTGAAGTACTGTTAGAAATGGGGGATTAAGAATACATTTTGTAGACACAGAATGTATTTGGCTGTTGAGAACAAAGCTTAAGCCATCATACTTGGGAAACACTAAGACTGAAACAGTTTGTATGGGATTAAAGAGTTTGGTAAAAAACCAGTCAATTCAGGCTGGAGAGAAGGCTCAGAGGTTAAGAGCACTGGCTGCTATTCCATACATCATAAATTCAATTCCCAGCAACCACATCTATTTCTAGTGCCCTCTTCTGGCATAAAGGCCTACATGCAGATAGAGCGCTCATACACGTAAAGTAAATAAATAAATACATTTAAAAAAAAAAAAAAAAGGCAATTCCAGTATATGGGCAATGAGATGAGATCACACCATTCTACCCAGCCAGGCCAGACCCTGTCTCAAAAACAAACAGAGAAGATGCAGTATCCAGCAAGAATTAAATAAGTAGGCTGTTTGTCACTTCAGAGATTACAGCTACTGACAAGCATTAGTAAGTTTAGAGGCCAGGCTAGCAAATAAAACTAATTCTTGTGGCTACATCTACACTTAGTATAGTTCTAACCCATACTTTTTGTAGTTTTGTTTGTTTTATCTGGTAATGCTTGATGGCTTTTTAGGAAATTGAAGAAGCTCTAATAAAAATAGTGTAAGTTTCTAAGAAACACCAAGGATGACAGCAATGGTCTATATTGTTTTGAGGACCTCTTGGACTATCCTGACCAACAAGGACTGGCACTAGGATTTTTGTGAACCTGTTTTATGGGGGGGGGGCACTCACCCCAATTGGTGTGACTTCAATTAATACATATATATGTAAACATATGCATTATATTACATATATAATTTTAAGTAGCCACAAAATGGTTCCTTATCACTATTTAAGACATCTTCGGTGTTTTTTATCCCCCCCCCTTTTAAAATAAGTCTTTTTATGTATCCAGTGTGAGTCACAAAAGCAAAAATATAGGGAATTTCACCCTCATTATCTGGCGTTAATGTGTTCTAATGGCTAATGCTTTACAAATCTTATTTACCTTCATAATAATGTATTGTATTAAGAAATATATGTGCCCCTACTCTGTTACAACCAGTAGAATATGTTGAGGTAGAGTAAAATTAACTACTTAATACTTTGTGTTTACTCCGTTTTTCTTTGTAAAGCAATATAACCAGGATATTTATGCACATCACAAAAAATGAATACATAAAGTAACACTTGTGGAAGAACTGGCCACATTATAAAATCAAGATTCAGAAAACTGAGAAAAGTATATACAATAGCCCTTGTTTTAGTTTTTCGAGACAGAGCTTCTCTATATTGCTTTGGAGCCTATTATAGAACTAGCTCTAGGCTGGCCTTGAACTCACTGATCTGTAGGCCTCTGCCTCCCTAGTGCTGGGATTAAAGTTGTGTGCCACCAATGCCTAGCTTACAACAGCCTTTCGAGCAATGGTTTTCTTTGCATCTGTGTGCAATTTGATAGAGTAGACTTTTGGAAGAAAAGAGTAATTTTTATTGAAAAGTTTTCTGCATATAAATAATGGCCTTTTGCTCTAATATATTTTTGCCTTCTACTTTGGATTTTTAGGCTGCATTAAGGATAATAATCTGGGTTAAATTTATGTAGTCAGATTTAATATTCATTGCAAACATGTCTTTATCAATTAACAACAAAGGGGAAGAAGAACAGGTGTGGGTGTTTAATAAAGAAAAGCCAACAAAATATGCAGGCATGACAATGGAGACGAAGATTGTTTGTTCCTAAATTGTCCTTTGAACAGTAGAACCACAGGTAACTTAAAATATGTTGCTTTAAATTTCATTTTTCCACAATGAACTCCTTACACGGCCATAAATTAAAACAATATGTTTCATAATAGCATAACTGCATATTTCTCTAGTATTTTCTCCTTCATTTCTCTCCTCCCTAATTTTCCGTTAAAGTTTCTATGAATTAACCTTGGATTTGGGGGTTGTTTTTGTTTTGTTTGTTTGTTTAGGCATTTGCTTGCTTACGTGTTTCTTTCTTCAGATAACAGCAGATAATCACCAGGATGGGAGTGAATGACTTGTGGCAAATTTTGGAGCCTGTAAAGCAACATATCCACCTGCAGGATCTTAGTGGGAAAACCATTGCCGTTGATTTGAGCCTCTGGGTATGTGAGGCACAGACAGTGAAGAAAATGATTGGAACTGTCATGAAGCCCCACCTCAGGTATAGTAAAAAGGCTCTAAGAATGTAGATGACATGATTGTATAGCCAGTCTTGGTGTCCTGGCTTTATTTCAACTTTTTTTTTTTAATTGTCATATATTTGGGGTTTTAAAATAAATTTAACATGTCTTGATCTGCCATTTTTATACCAACGACTTAAATATGTATCTCCTACTCCAAGCTTCAAGCTCAGATATCTCTGTCTTCACTATCATGTTTCTGTAACTGAAAGCCAGAAGTTGAGTGGCCATTTTCTTCATCTTTTATTTCTCATCTCCAGTTCATCAGTAATTATTCTTACCCATTCAGCTTCCAAAATACCCATATATTCACAAATTTCTCTCCATGTCCAGAGATATCACATCAGACTGTGCCAACCTCATGTTTTACCCACATCTGTCACTGGAAAGGCATTATCACTCCCTTCACCTGCTCTTAACCTCTCCCTCCAAACCAGCTGGCAGTATGTACAGTCAGAAATCACACTTACTTAAAAATGTCAAGTACTTGCCCAATCTTCTTAAAATAACATCGTAATAAATAAAATACAGGCCATTGAGTTGGCTCAGTAGGCACACATACTTGCCACCAGGCCTGACAGCCTGAGTGTGATCCTATGACCTCCATCCAAGTACAGTGGTGCATGTGCCCACACAAATAACCGCTCAAACACACATGCACGCACACTTAAATGTTTAAAAAATATTATTGCATGTAACATTTTTTTTATTAACCTAGGGCTCTTAAACCTTTTTTCATATTGCTATTTGGACTTGCTATCAACATGACAATACACTACTCGTTTGTATATTTTAGGAACCTATTTTTTCGTATTTCGTACTTAACTCAAATGAATGTAAAACTGGTGTTCGTAATGGAAGGGGAGCCACCAAAGCTGAAAGCTGATGTCATGAGCAAGAGGACACAGACACGTTACGGGCCTTCTGGAAAACCATGCTCACAGAGGACAGGGAGATCACATTTTAAGTCAATCTTACGAGAGGTGAGCATTTGGGATCGATAGTTCTTATTTGAGTTAAAGTCATTTTATAAATTTGTGCTCATTAGCCACATTGTAACTACAGGAGCAGAGTGTTTGTGTTAGAGCCAAGTTCTAGAAATTGTGAGGCACTAGGCAGGATTTTTAAATTCCCTGTGTTTTAATTCTTAATGAAATGGGGATAGTAATATTGTGCAGTGATTTTATAAATGCTTGAGAAATGTGTCTACAGTAAATAATCCATGGTAGAAACTTAGCTTTCTTTCCTTTTAACTGCAGCAGTTCCTGAGTGCATAAGAGCCATAAGTCATTTGCTTCTTTGATCAAGGTTAAGGGTACCACTGAATTGTGGGTATAAGCATAAATATTTAGGAGGCAGTGTGATAAAATGTGCATTTAACTAAGCAATAGTAGTACTCTCTCTATGCTGATGACCTCTCCAGTTATAGGCCTCTACTGGGACTACAGCACGAGAAACTTGTATGGAAAGGGCCTCAGATTTCATCAGAACCCAGTTGTTGCCTTAGCAGTCACAATACTATTATACCATTAAGTACCTCTTGCCTAGCAAGTTGGTATTGTATCATACAAAGTCTAAGTAAGACTGTAGGTGGGTTTTATCCCCCAGCTATATGGTTAGCAGCCTCTGGCACTTTGAAGGCTACCCAGCAGGATTTAGGGGGGTTCATTTGTTACAGGATCTTGCTACATAGTCCAGGCTGCCCTGGAACTGGCTATATAGCTTAGAGTGGTCCTAAATTCTCCATGTCCTCTCTCTTCAACTCCTTCTATATACCCTCCTCAAATTGTTAGCCTCTTTGCGTGTGTGTGTGTGTGTGTGTGTGTGTGTGTGTGTGTGTGTGTGTGTGCGCGCACGCTGTATGTGTGCATGTGTGTGTATGTTTAGGGCTACTTTATATGAGAAAGCCAGTTAGACAACTTATCTCTGGAAGATGCCAGTTCTCCCTCTCTCATCAGTAATTAGTTTCCTGGAGTTCTTTGTCTAGGTATGGGACCTCATGAGAGTTCCCCCCTTTTGAATTAGCATGCCTATTGATAGTGTCAATGTTACAGTCTTGCTTATAGTGCCATTTCTAGGAGAGACTGTTTCACAGCCAACTACCTGGAATATTTTTAAGAAATTGTTGTAGTGTACAAATAATTTTTATTGGCTTTTTACTTAATGCATCATAGACATAGTTCCCTGTTGTTGCTTTCTATTCAAAATTATAATTTATAGTGTTTATATAACATGTAGGGACCTATAAATTATTCTTATGAATATCATTTACATTTTAACATTTCTCCATTGTACATGAAATAATGAACTTTTTCTGAATATACTTTTCTTATCTTTGGAGGTTTGAAATAAAATTATTCAAAAATAGAATTGACAAGCCAGGCGGTGGTGTTACATGACTTTAGTCCCAGCACTTAGGCAGAGACAGACCGATCTCTATGAGTTCAAGACTACCCTGATTTACTGAGTGAGTGAGTTCTAAGACAGACTCCAAACCTACACAGGGAAACCCTGTCTCAAAAGACAAGCAAACAATAGAACTGACAAATTGGGAGTTCAAGAATGATTTTTTTTTTTTTTTTTTTTTTTTTTTAGTTTTTAGAAATACTTTCCTACCAACACAGGTGTGAGGGCAATTTTGGTGCTCACAAAAGAACTTGGGATGTTCTTTGGAAGCAAAGATATGTAATATAATCCAATCATGGTTAACTGTAGTACTTGGGAGGCAGGAAGATTTCTATAATCTTAAAATTGGCCAGGGTTGCATAGTGAGACCCTGTTTTTAAAAGTCATGAAGGTGAGGTATTTAATATAATGAGGTATTTTAGAAGACATTACATAAAACAATGATTCTTGAACTGCTGTCTCCTGTCTTAATTTTAATCACTGAATAGTCAAACTTAATGACTTAGTAGTTGAAGTAAATGCCTGTACTAGGGTCTAACAATTTCCTGTAAAATTAGTTACTGTAAATATCTGTGAATCAAGAACAGTAAATATGCTGTGTGTCTATTTATGTCTTCTTAAGGGAACTGCTCCGTGCCTGCTTATTTATTACAGTCATTCTGGTGCCCTTAAGCATTTTGTGTCCATTCAGTATTGCTTACCTATCACTCATTTTCATATTTCTGCACTCTCATTTGGTCAAAAAATGCAAATTAATTATCCTTCTTCACCAAACCCATCCTATAGAATAAGTAGAACATTGCAACCAGCCATGTCATAACTTGTGTGTAGCTGCTATGAAAGGAGTTGTAAATGTAATGGCACACAAAGCTGAAATAACTTTGCTCAGTGTGAAAAGATAATCCCTAGCTAGGATAGAGAGAGAAGATGTGCTTGTTGCAAAAATGTTGTTTCTGCAGAGTCACTGCACCAGTCTTGAGACTGGGCCTTGGGCCACATCTGGCAGCTTTTTTTTTTTTTTTTTTTTTTTTTTTTTTGTTTTGTTTGTTTGTTTGTTTGTTTTTGGTTATGTATTATTCAAAAGACTAAATGTTCTGAGCAACAGGTGTTACTTCTATCAGCCTGTGGAAAGTACATTACATAGCCTCTTTTCTCCATATTCAGTATTCCTCAATTCAGAAAGGACCATAAATGGAAAGGAAAGGAAACTATTATAGTCTCTGTGGCTATACTACAGGCTGCTCAGCAACATCAAAGCCATAACCCAAAGAAAACTCACAGTGGATTATTTATGCATCATAAAAGGATAAAATCACCTTGCCCAGGTATCTGATTTCCTAGGAGGAACCAACAACTTAGCATTGTGAGAATCTTCATACTATTATATGCATGACACAATTCCTTAGGAAATGCTACCAGGTAGGGAACTGATGACCGATACCACCAGAATCCAACTTGGTGAACCAATGAATTTATTGGGATTACTTACAGGAATTGGGGTACGAGGTCACTTAGAGGAATAGGAACAAGGATATCTCCACAAGTCCATCCACATAGGCAACAGCTCATAAAACCTGGAAACCCAAGAATGCATTGTACAACCTGTTGTACTTCAGAAGAATGGAGAGGTGGCTCAATTTCTCTGAGTATCTTTGATGCAGTTCAGTGGAATCTGCTTCTTCCAGGTAGCTTGGCTAATCTGTCTCTTCCAAACAGCCCAGCTCTCTTCTCTGTCTCTGTGTGTCTGTGTTTCTCTCTCTCTATTAGGTAGCTTGATGATCTAAGAAGGTTTGTCAGTAGTCCTTACAACTTACATATGCTTGGGAAGGGAGGAGCCTAGGGTCAGGTCAGGGACTTCCTGCATCCTTGTAGTTGTTTATTCCTGATCTGAGCTTGTTGAGCTTCCGTGCAGGACAGAATGTTTTCACTCTCTCTTAGAAATATGCTATGTAAATCCCAACCATAATACTGTAGAATTCTCAGTATCTCAGTGTTGCTTTCTGCAAGAGAACCCTTTAAAAATTAAATAGGCATAGCCTATTTAATTATCTCACCTAGAAAGTGAGCAATTCTTAATGTCATCTAATTACTCAGTGTCCAAATTTCCAAATGTTTCTTGAATGCCATATTTTTTTAAATACCCCAAAAACAACTACTAATACTTTTAATGTAGAAGTAATTTAAAAGTGAAAATTGAATGTCTTGCACCTACTCTTTGTTTCAGTGTCTTGAGATGCTAGACTGCCTAGGAATCCCCTGGGTCCAGGCTGTGGGGGAAGCTGAAGCAATGTGTGCTTACCTTAATGCCAGTGGCCATGTGGATGGCTGCCTCACTAATGATGGTGATGCCTTTCTTTATGGAGCCCAGACGGTTTACAGGAATTTCACCATGAACACAAAGGTACTTTTTTTCTTTCTCTCTTGATATTTGTTTATACATTACATTTTTAAAGAAGACTAAAGTAATATGTATAAAATGCTTCTATGATGCCTGGCAAATGGTTATGCTAAATAAAATGTTTACTGACTTAAAATATCATTGTTATACATTTAAATAAGTTAGAAAACAATTTGAAAGTTTTCACCATAAATGTGTGTGGTGTGTGTGTGTATTTAGATTTGTTTTTTAATGATTTGTATATATGGGGTAGGAAGTGTGCATTCATGAGTGCAGGAATCTGTGAGCCAGCCACCTGATATGGATGCTCTTCAAGAGTAGTGTGAGCAACCACCAAGCCATCCCTCCAGCCCTGTAAATAAGGATTTTGAGGTGATGGAGATAATAAAGATGATTATCTATTTAAAAAAATAAATAAATAAATGCATTGTGGTCCAGCAAGAAGGCTCAATGGATAAAAGCACTTAACCGGAGTTTGAATTCCAGAACCCACATGGTAGAAGAAAAGAACTGACTTCCACAAATTGTTCTTTGCATTCCACTCATACACCAGGGCAATTAATTAATGATTGTTTTTAATTAAAGCATTGCCAAATAGCTTATTATGTCCAAAGTGTGTATTTCTTACTAATATAACACAGAATTATGTGTGAAATGCATTGCTTTGTCCCAGAACTTCTAGTTTCAATATTTAATTCTCAAAACACCTCCAACTGTACAAGGAGAGGAATAGAAGGCAGGATATTCTTTGTTGCAGTATAAAAAACTATAAAAAATTAGCAAATCAAATGCTTGTTGTTGGGAATGTTTAGTTTAAATGTTTCCCAGTTATAATTCCTAGTTGGGGATTCTTGCCAATTAGCATTTTTATTACAGCAATTCAGGGGAAGAAGACTAGGTAGTTTCTATCTCAGCATTTGGTTATTAGGGCCAGCAAGGCTAAGAGTCATGCCATCTCTCTCAAAATACTAGTAGGTCCCCACAAGAAGTACTATCAGAGTCAATGTGATCCAGTATTAAGCAGTCGTGTAATCATATGTCTTAGAACAGATGGTGCACACCTTTAATCCCAGAATGGTGGATACAGGGCAGAAGTGTTAATATCAGGGTACTGTTGGCACATGACTTTAATCCCCGCAGAGGCAGGGGCAGGTGGATCTCTGTGTTCAAGGCCAGTCTGGTCTATAGAGCAAGTTCCAAAACAGCCAGGGCTGTTACATGGAGAAACCCTGTCTTGACAAACAAAAAGAGTTAATAGTAAATATTAATAATAAATGTTAGAGAAAGGGATTTTTTTTTTTTTAAGATTGGAAGAATGTGTACCCAAACTACTAATAATTAACTTTAGGTAATACAATTATAGTGAATGTTTGTTTTCTACATTATATACCATACATTGTACTTTTTAGATACAAAAATCAATAGAAAAAGATATTATCCACTATGAATGTTTTTCTATTTAAATGTAATATTTTTAGTAATTAGAGAATTTTTACATGAATTCAATGTATTGTGATCATATTTACCACTCTTTTCTCCCAGACTTAATTCCCATTCCCTCTCTCTCTGTCCTAGTTTGCTTTCTATTGCTGTAATAAACACCACAACCAAAACTTGGGGAGGAAAGGGTTTATTTAACTTACACTTCCAGGTCATTGTTATCATTGAAGGAGGTCAGTACAGGAATCTGGAAGCAGGAGCTGATGCAGAGACCATGGAGGAGTGCTATTTGCTGGCGTGCTCCCCATGGCTTGCTCAGCTTGCTTTTTTGTACAACCCAGGAAAACTTGCCCAGGGATTGCACTACTCACACTAGGTGGGCCCTCCAACATCAATCATTAATCAAGGACATTCCCCCAATGACTTGCCTATATACCAATCTTATGAAAATATCTTCTCAATTGAGAGTCCCTCTTTTCAGATGACTCTAGCTTGTATCATTGACAAAAAACAAAAACAAAACAACAATGAAAAACCGGCACACCCTCCCATATTCATGTTCTTTATTATATATATTTTTATAGCGTATGGTTCCAATTTGAAATGCCCATATACTATTGGGTATGAGGCTGTCTACTTACAGCATGGATAACCTGCTAGAGTTAGCACCCTTAAAGAAAACTGACTCTCCCTCCCACAGAAGCCATCAACTGTCAGTGGTCCCTCAGCGAGGGGAGGGGTCTCCTAACCCTCTTCCTGCTCAGTGCTGAGATGTTGTTGCCTTGGTCTTTGTCAAGCACACACAGCTGCTCTGCATTCGTGGACGCAGTGGTTCTCTCTTGCCCAGAAGGCACTCTTTCACTCTAGCTTTACAATCTTTCTGTCCACACTTCCACCATAACCCCTGAGCCTCGGGGTGGGGGGAGTATTGTATGCACCTCTAAATACTGTGCATACTCACATTCCCTGCACATAAAGCCCACTGCTTCTCTAATGAATCTGACAACTGTAATAATCTCTAGATACAGAGATGCAAATTTAGAAGACAGTTTGATACTATATCCATTTAGCAAATTAGTTTCACCCTGGGTCCTATGAGCTCCTCAACCATGAGTCCTTGGCCAGATTTACAGTACCAAGCATGTGTAGCCTCTTGTAGAGTGGTTATTAAATCCAATCATAAAGCAGTTACACTCATAATATATAGCATCCATTCCACTACTGAACCCATGGTAACTATTGTAGCTCACAGGTTCACAGCTGAGTTAGATTGTTGATGTGTTGATGACTTTGTTCTTCCCCACACAGCAGACAGCACTTTCTGGTACTTTGAAAGATAGCCAGTAAGGAGGAACTTTTAGTTATATTTCATTCATTTACTGAAATATCACGTTCTATAGATATTGTGATCAGGGTCATTTTCTTGCTTAAATTTTTAGAAAAAGACTTTAAATGACAGCTTATTCATTCTACTCTTTAATATAAAACACTGGAGATGAACCCTCTGCTCTCTTTAGGATCCACATGTTGACTGTTACACGGTATCATCTATCAAGAGTAAGCTAGGCTTGGATCGAGATGCTCTGGTTGGTCTTGCAGTACTTCTTGGCTGTGATTATCTACCAAAGGCAAGCTGAGCTCATTGCTTCTTTCTCAATGTCTTTAATACTTTACGTGGTATGTGTGTGTGTACATAGTATGGGCGTATCATTATGAATTCACTTTAAATATAAGACATTCACTAACAAAAATAATCAGAAGGAGATGATTCATGGGTGAAAACACTGCTATGCAAGTATGACAGCTTGAATTCCATGCCTGAGGTACACATAAAAGTGAAAGGGAAAAAAAGCCACAAAATTGTCCTCTGACCTTCCACAAGTGCACACACACAAAATAATAAATAAATAAATCAAAAAACAATTAGTATCTCACATAATGCTAAAAAAAACTGCCTTGTGACAATAAACATTACAAAGGGGAGTTCAATAAGTGGTCCCACAGCTTCAGCCTCAAAAGAGATTGACGTGCATGCTTAACCAACCTATCAGAGAAGTTTAAGGACTCCTCTTGTTTTATAGCAGTACTAGTTTCTATTACAGCTTTACCTATGTTTTAGCTCTCTATACTCATCATAGTTGCACACATGTGCTCTCGTCACTGTTGCTGAGCAGCATCATTACAGAGGTAAGCCATTCATACATCCCATCACTGTATTAGGTTTTCTTCATAGAGTGATGAGAATTAGGACAACCTTTTCTTAAATACCGTGTGTAAAAGTGTAGATGGTCACTATTCTACCTCTTTAAATATGTACCCATCATTCCAGATTAACATTTAAGTTTGTTTTTCCACTTTATGAAAGGGAGTGCCTGGAGTTGGAAAAGAACAAGCATTAAAACTGCTGCGGATTTTGAAAGGTCAAAGTTTGCTTCAGAGGTAACTCAGTGTTGCTTTTTACTCCACACTGGACACTTTTTCTTGTTGGACTCAGTAGTGAGCCTACAGAAATGATTACTTTTGAACTATTCTGTGTTTTTGTTTCTGGTGATTAATTCTTACTTATCTGGAACTCTTTCAGAGGATGCAGTGAATATGGTACTTATCTAACTCTGAGCTACTCTAACTGAAATAGTGTCAGCAAATATATATAATTTTTGGCAACATTTAAGCATAGTCTTTACACTTGGAAATGATCAGATTTTTTATAATTATCCATTCTTCTAATTTTAATAATTTATATTATTTTCCCTATTTTTTAATCTTTGAAGCTCTGTCATTTATCCAGAAACTATCAATAGTGATTTTTAGTATGCTTATAGTCAAAATTGCCAACAGTACTACACATTATTATTTTGTGAAACTCAATGTCTTATGAGTGGCATCTAGGTGTCCTTGATAGTATTATGTTAACATGAAACTTTGAGCAAAAACAAATTTTATTACTCAACATCTTAGCAGTTCCATACATGTTTCTTAAAACCTTGCATTACACAAATAATGTTTTGCCATTTTAAATTATCCAATCTTAAAGTTTTATTGAAAAACTTAATGTCTTATTTGGACCTACATGTTACTCTTTACCCTTATTTCTGATTAAAAATATAATTGATATACAATTCTGCTTGGTTTGTACTCTGGCACACAGTAAAGAGATGGAAAAGGCCAAAACACATTATTCTCCCCATCTATTGGTGCCTAAGAAACTCATCTGTACAGATGTACACACAGATATACACATATACACAGTCTGCTCCCCTTTGCAATTCTTCTCTACCTGGAACCACATGTAAAGCTTATAAAAAACTAAGCATTTTTCCAGGCCAGGCAAGTGAGTTAATAACCAGCAAAGAGAAAATAATTGGACAGATTAAAGGGAATTGGGATAAACTGACATTTGAGAATATATTTTTATTACCTCAATTTTTTTTCTGTCCTTTTCAAAACTATTTTCTAATAAAGGTTTAACCAGTGGATTATAGAACCTTGCTCCTCTATTCCACAATCTGCAGCTAAAAATGTGGCTCACTGCTCTGTGTGTTCCCATCCAGGTAAGCAGCATAGGAAACTCCTCTAGAGTATTGGAGTCTGAGTGCTCCTCATACTTTCTCATTCCTTTAGAGTCAGAAAACATCATGAGCACGCAGTAAATGTTTGATAAATGAAATAATGTGGTAGCAATGGTAAATATAGAATGAGTGAAGTTTCATATTGTATTACCAAATTATTTAGATTTTAGAATTATGTTTTGATATATGAATCTATTTTTATGATGAATTATAAGTCTTAAAAGAAAATGGAGGGGCTGCAGAGATGGCTCAGTGGTTAAGAACACATGTTGCTCTTCTTGAGGACCTGAGTTCAATTCCCAGTACCCACATCAGGTGTCTTACAAGTGCCTGTTGTTACAACTCCTCACATGTCTGACCTCTGTGGATACTTGCATGTACATGTACATAATGAAAATAAATCTTTTTTTAAAGGAAAATGGAACTAAAACCATTTATTTTTATCAATGTCTATATGCTTAATTAATCTTAAATAAATGTACTTAATCCTATAGTACATTTTTACTGGCTCTATAGATACGGACTTAAAACTAGCTTCAAATACAAGTTCATTCTTGTTGAAAGTAGATTGGATCGTCATTAGTCTTAGTTGAAAAAGATAATATTGAACATGAGCTGAGTGTGTTATGTACTTGTAATTCAGTACTTGGAAGGTAGAGACAGTAGGATCAAGAGTTCAAGTCCATCTTCAGTTACATAAGAAGTTTGAGGCCACTCTGGGCTACATAATACCCTGACTCAAAAAAAAAAAAAAACAAAAAGGTATCCTTGAGTGTGTTTCCTTTCAAAGGAAATGAGGGCTCCATTCACACCTGTACTGTAGTGATATTCTTCCTTTTCCAAGTATAGTTTAAGATGTACACACTGGCAGAGGACATGAAGTGGGTGATCTTTTAAAATGCTCAATAAAAAACTATTTCATGGATTATTATGTTAAGGAAATAAATTAATACTTCTAATAAATGAGTATGTTGTGAGCGGTGTCATGATGTGAGCTATAATTTGTCCTAAGAACTACTCTGGCTGGGTGTTGGTGGCACAAACCTTTAGTCCCAGCACTCAGGAGGCAGAGGCAAGCAGATCTCTGTGAGTTCGAGGCCATCCTGGTTTACAGATCCATACAGTGAAACCCTGTCTCGGACCTCCCCCCAAAAAAGAGAACCATTCTGGTGTACACTATTCTTTCAATCTAAATATATTGAAACCAACTGTGCCAGACAATACTAATTTTGATTTGAGATAACAAGAGAAGAGTGTGCATGTTAAAGCTAATTCTTCACAGCATCTTTGTGTCTCCTAAAAGGTTCGCCTAAGGATCATGAACGTAAAGGATGCACATTATGTAAAAGTGATAGATACTGTGAACCACATGATTATGAATACTGCTGTCCTTGTGAATGGCACCAGACAAACCAGAATAGACAACTAAATGAAATAGAAAACAATATTAAAAAGTAAGTTGTTTTTAGCCACTTAATGTTTTTTATGACCTGTATAGATACTTGAAGTTGATTTACTTCCCCACGTGTCTAGATTAATTATGCCTCATACACTGTATTGTTGATTCTGTTAAAACAAATCCCATCCATCTGAGCCAGTCACAGTGGCACACACCTTTAATCCCAGCACTTATGAGGCAGAGAAACTGCCTGGTCTCCATAGAAAGCGCCAGGCCAGCCAGAGTTACATAGTGAGACTCTGTCTCAAGAAAACCAAAGGGAGGAAAATCATCCATCTAAAGAGCTTAGCAGGCAAAGGTGCTTACGGCCACACCTGCTTCAGCCAAGCTATCCATCCTTTGATCTCCACGCATAAGCTGTTCACATGTGCCTACACAAATTCACACACACATAAATGAATATTACAAAAAAAGTAAAAATAAAATTTCATATGAGAAGGTAACAGTTTAATAGTTTTTTTAGAGAAAGACTGGAAAGATACTGGATGTGGATATTATAAAATAAGATTGGATGAGATTTCAATGTTTAATTATCTTACTGTATTGATAATGTGTATAATTTATCTCTAGAAAAGCTTGCAGTTGCAAAGGATTTCCATTCCATGAGGTAATAATAATCCAATTATATATTTATTTTTTAAGATTGTTACAAGTTTTAAAGTCCTGAATCCTGTTTTTTGTCTTTTTATACTTAGGTCATTCAAGAATTCCTTTTGAATAAGGATAAAATGTTGAAACCTATCAGGTACCAAAGACCTGATTTATTACTGTTTCAGGTATCTGAAAATAAATTCTTACATAATAGTAAAATTCGATATGAGGAAGATCAGAATGATATTAGCTTCAGTGTATGAGAGGAGACTTCAAAACTAAGACCGATAACTATTAACTGTCCCTATATTCTTCAGCATTCATTTATAACCTTTACCCCTTGGCTGCGCAAGATCTATACTTCCCAGACCATAAGGCAAACACAGACTGCTTCTCAGAAGAGTCTCAGTCACATTGTGTAGACACATTGAACACAGGAGTATGTCTGGGAAAGAGGCTCAGGACAAGGGTGCATGGTCAAATATACTATATGACCCTGAATATGAAATATCTGTAAAATAAAAATATTGCCACCTCATCAAGTCACCATAAGGGTTAAATGAGATTATTTTAACCCCTGATGTTGTAATTAGGGGGAAAGGATGGCTGAGTAAATCTAGTTGCACTCTACCTTGTTGACAAATATTACATGTAATGTATTAAATGTCCTCCCACTTAATCTATATAGCCTGTCAACAGGGTTATGTTCTCTTCTTTTAAAGATGGAAAAATGGCCACTAGCCCACCATCTTGTACCTAAGCTGGCATTCCGAGAAGAGAACCTACTCAACCATATTTTTCTTTGACACTTTATGCTTAGGGAGCTCGTTGTTTCACGAAATAGTCTCATTAATAGTACTTTAGCATTACTCTTACAAGAAAATGTTGTCTGAGAATATTTCATGTCTAAAAAGTTTTAATATTTATTTTTACTGTGTTTACAGAGGTTTACTGTTCAAAAAATGGAGTGGCCCAGTCACTATGCATGTGAGAAGTTGTTGGTCCTTTTGACCCGCTATGACATGACGGAAAGAAAACTTGGGAGAAAGAACTCTGGTCAACTACAGCCAATTAGGTAAAAAAAAAAAAGATGCCCCAAGCACAGTAGCACACTCCTTTAAACACTCCTTTAATCCCAACTCTGAAGGCCAAGGCAAGCAAGCAGATCTCTGTAAGTTAAGGTCTACCAAGGCTGCATAGTGAGACCTTGTCTCAATACAAGCAAATACACATACCCACAGAGAACTATAAAAAGTATATATCAAAAGACAAAGTGAAGCCAGAGGAAGATGTGAATAAGAACACTGATAAACAATAATGAACTGGGTGAAATTATTCACCTGCATAATTATATTCACATAATTTTAGCAATTAATACATGATAAACTAAAGGTCTTCATTTTGGATTATATTCCAAGTGTTGGTCTTAAATCTTTAAATACATGTTTTGAGAGTATTTTTTATATCTGTTGTATACTGATATGTTTTCTACTAGAAACACAATATCTGATGTTCAAACAATTAAAGTTCAAATAAATAAAACAAACAAGAGTATACAGGAAAGCAGAAGTGAGTAGAAAAAATTGCCAACAGAAAACATAAAATTTATGAATGAGTCCAACTCTCACTAGTCATAATAAGCCTAAGTGGATTAAATTCATCTATTAAAATGAATATTGCATTGAATAAGCACAGATAAAAATTTTCATAAGAAAATACAAAGTTCAAAAACTAAGATTTAATAGGCAGCTGGACATTGGTGGCACACGCCTTTAATCCCAGCACTCGGGAGGCAGACACAGGTGGATCTCTGTGAGATTTGAGGCCAGCCTGGTCTACAGAGCGAGTTCCAGGACAGGCTCCAATGTAATACAGAGGAACCTGTCTCAAAAAAAAAAAAAAAAAAAGATTGAATAAGCAAATACCAAAGTAGTGTAACAGAGTAGACTTTACAAGAGAAATCATGAGAAAACCAATACTATATAATAATGAAAAAATATTGAGGGGCTGGAGAGATGGCTCTGAGTTTAAGAGCACTTGTTCTTCTTGCTGAGGACCTGAGTTCAATTCCCAGAACCCATATGGTGACTCACAGTCATCTGACAGTCCAGTTCCAGGGCATGTCAGTCCTTCTTCTGACCTCTGTGGAAACCAGGCATGCAGCTGCTGCACCTACATACATGCAGATAAAACACAAATAAAATGAAAATATAAATATGTGAGTGTGTGTCTATATATATATATAGAGAGAGAGAGAGAGAGTCCAACAATATTCAACTGTCTCACAATGAAATTATTCAAATTGAGTCCAAAGAATATCTAGGGAGTAATTCCTTATATCTTTACTTAGAATAAATATTGATGGAAATTGAAATGTATAAATTAAAATTTTTATAAATAACTTGTACAGTTATACTTCAGTATATGAATTCATTTTTCAGAATTGTTAAACCCCGAATCAGAAATGGAGTTCGTTGTCTTGAAATAGAATGGGAAAAGCCTGGTATGTATTCATTATACACAGAATGTTTAATTTACAGCATGTGATCTGATTTTGAAGTAGATAGTGAATATTTAGAAATCTTAAATGCTTGTGGAAGTCATTAAAAAAAAATCACATGCACTATGAATTTTATTCTTATTTTACCTGTTGTATTTTAAATAGATTTTGATTACTAAAGGTGATAAACTTCAAGTGCCTTTATTTTTAACATCTTTGACATTTCTTCAATGTTTGGAAATAATGCCAAAATAGTTGTGAATCCTAGGTCTTAAAAAAAAAATTGCTTCCACAAGTGTTCTGTCTTTGGGGTCTCATATGTAGCTGTTTCTAACGCAGTTGAGGTGAGTGAATAATAACTAAAGAATTTTTCTTCTTTTTCCTTTATTCTATTTTGTTTCCAAATAAATTTGTACTTTTGCTACCACAAAAATAGTGTAAGCTCTGGATTAACTTTCACACTAGAGTCCAGAAAAGTGGGTGATTTAAAATGGACATGACTCAAGATTCATGGGCTTTTATTGCATTTTATTTGTGTGTGGGGACCTGTGTGGGGGTGTGGATATACACGTGTGTCACACTTTGGAATCCACTCACAATCATTGGGCTCCCCCAAAGTGTTTGCCATATCACACAGCACACACAGCTTGTCTCCTAGGCTCTGGCTGGCCCCACTTCACAGCTGCTGCTATCCTTGGCAGTCCTCCCCATAGTTCTGGGGTCTCCTGCTGCCACTGGGCTACATCAATAGCTTTTCTTGGACTCTCCATGGTATCAAGCCTCAACTTTTCCACCTGATCCGTTCAGTCCTGGGCCTTCAACTTCTACTGAGACTGCACCTATGGATTCTTCTGACTTCTCAAAGTACCAAGCCTCAGATCTCTCCATGACCTCTCATGCTTTCAAAACTACCTGGGGACTCGTAACATTTGACCAAGATCAGCTTCCCACACAAGGAACAACCATAGCCACCTTTGGAACTCAGCATGTGTGCATTGACCCTGAGAAAACACTTCCCAGATCTCACTCAATGATTCACTCTTCTTTGTCACCATTAATTTCTCACCCCCCTATTAACCAGTATCAATTGTCCAGGTTTCACTTCAGGGGTACCAGTCTTGTAAATCACAGCTGATTCTTTGGCCCTGGCTGTTTCAAAATAGTTCATGCCCCCCAAAAAATCTTTAAGGAACTCTCTCCAATTTCCCTCCAAAACTTCAGAAGAAGCCAGGCCTCCATCCTTTGCCGTGATCTCAACATTCTTATCTTCCAAGCTCTTACAGAACAGTCCACAGAGTTTAACCCAGAGTTCCAAAGCCTTTCCACAATCCTTACCACAACAATATGAGATCTATGAAAGCAATACTTCCCAGATCCTCCTTATATATCTTCCCCCCCCCCCCTTTTAACAAACATAGAAACTAATGTTTCCTTGCGGCATTTTCATACATACTTTGTTTTCTGATTCACATAGACACACATACAGGAATATTCTCCAACTCCCCATTTATACCATTCCAGCTCCAGTATTACCTTTTGCTTTCATATTACATGTTCAATTGCTCTCCTCACCCCACTTTCTTAAAGCCTTTCCCCTTCTGCCATGGCCCCTTTACAGTACAAATTAAAACCAATTAAAGATTTCACGTAATCCCAGGCAGAAGGCTTACCATCAAGCAAGCAAATGGCAACAAATGCTGGTGAAAATGTGGAAAAAGAAACCTTTATTGACTATTGGTAGGAGTGTAAATTGGTACAGCCACTGTGTAAATCAGTGTAGAGGTTTCTCAAAAAAAAAAAAAAAAAAAAAATAGGGGAAAAAAAAAACTATAGAGGACCCAGATATATCAACTCTAGGCAGATTCTCAGAGGACTATCCTTCCAGAGAGATACCTACACATGTATTTATTAATGCTGTAGTCATATCACAAACTAATTATATCTAATTGTAAGTAAGTAAATGAATAATTAAATCATTTAGTACATAGACTCTAGCATTTTATTCAGCCTTAAGAAAAAATAAAGATGTAAAATTTGCAGGAAAATGGATGGAAGTAGAAAAGGCAACCTTTATCAGAAAGATAAAGAGCACATTTTCTCTCATATGCAAAGCACAGCTTTTAACTTTTCTGTATATATTTTATTGTGACCTCCATATAAACATTCTCATTTCAGCTGTTTATGAATCTTCTGATGCTGGGAGTATCTTAAGAAATTGATAACTTAGTACACAGGAAGCCCTTTGTCTTAAGAAATGATTTATTTTCTTCCTTATGTGTAATTTTAACATTTTATCTAAAGAAAGTTTTCTGTTCTCTCAACTGACAATACTGTTTCTGAAACAAGAGAAAATAGTCAGTTTAAAAACCACCACAACAAAATATGAGGATAGGAGGGAAAAAAGAGCCAGCCAGCAAGAGTGATGAGGTACTAATAGTAAATGACCTGGATACGTTCTATGATTGTATGTGACTATCAGAAATAAATAATAGAGAAATGACAATGTTGTAGAGCAAAATTTGTGGTGAATTATCTGCCCACTTTTGGACTGGTGACTGCTTGGAAAAATTAGCTTTTAAACCTTTTGTTGTCTGCTTTTTCTATATTTTAAATCTTTTAGAATATTATGCTATGGAAGATACAGAGGCTGGAGAACTGGATCTCCTTACAGTTGAAGAAGCATCCCTGTTTGAAGCAGCCTATCCTGAGGTCGTTGCTGTCTACCAGAAACAACAGTCAGAAACTCAAGGGAAGAAACAGAAGAGTAAGTGTTGTGCTGGCTGTGAGTCTCCATAGGCTTTATCTCCCAGTGGTGCAGTGCTAGCAACCACACCCTGGCACCTCCCAAATGCCCCAGGTGTGCTACCACTGCACTTCCTACCAACCCCAAACACTTCCTTTAAAACTGAAATGCTTGGGGTCCACCATTATGCTCTGTTGACCAACTTGATATGTTAAGTACAGAGGAGTGTGTTCTGTAATGTAGCCAGCTTTTCAGCAGCTACTTCAAAGATATCCAGTGCACTTTTTTTATTCCTCAGAATTCAGTGAGGAAAGTAAGTCATTATTGACATTTCCCAAAGGAAACTGATAGTGTTTCCAAGAATGGGTAGTGGGCGGAGGTGGACACAAAAAAACAAAACAAACAAACAAAACCTCGCATAAATTACTGGTTTAACTCTTTGGTTTAAGGTACTGTCTTTATTTTCGCTTGAAGTTTTTCGTTTTGCTTTGTTTTAACCAAAGCAAAGTATTTATTATATGTGTTTCTTTCTTTTCAGGTATGAAAGTTAAGCCCAAAGGAAACAGTTTATCAGAAATGGATAATGTAGTCAGTTCTCAGTCACTTATGACTTTAAAACCTAAATGTGAAGTCCTCCCCAAGCATACTCGCAAAACTAATTTGGAAATTTCTCCAGATCCTATTTTACCACAGGAATCTACTTCTCCCTCACTGAGTAATTTAGTTTTCCCTGAAAGTGCTCCCTGTTTGAATTTGCAAGAACATTTCATGCCTCCTCCAAGACCTGTGGCTGGAAAGCAAACTAAAGATGTCAGTAATTTTCTAGTTTCAGAATGCAGTGAGCCCAGCTCTTCATCCCACAATATCTCTGTGATTGCTAATCTACACTTGAGTACCATTGATTGGGAAGGTACTTCCTTTAGTAATTCTCCAGCTGTTCAAAGAAACAGTTTGTCCCAAGATTTACAATCAGAACTTGAGTCATCATCCATCCTTCCTGGCTTTGAAAATACCCCAGAACAATGCACCGCAAACAATGAAGTGCTGGGTAGAGATCTTCAAAAGATTGCTCCTGAAGAACATCTACTTTCTGACATCACTGGTTTATATCTTCACGATTTGCCTCTAAAGGAGCGAATACATTTAAAATCCTCATGCCCTCTGTATAATGTACAAGCAGATGCTAACCTGGAAAGTTTGCCCCTAAAAGTAAAAAGTTCTTGTATTATTGACAGTAACTCTGGTTGTTTATCAGATTTCTCAAAGGAATTTCCAGGAATATATCTGCACAAAGAGTCCAAAAACTTGAAAGTACTAAACAACCAACTCCTTCAAGAAAATTCTTCAGTGGATACTTCCATACCTTATTCTTTTGATGACAAAGCAGTAAAGACCAGTCTTAAAGTTGAGCCCCCAAATACTGTTCTACCTCATAATCCAAAAGTTGATGAGAAAACTACTAAGAACCTTGTAAAGAAGAGTGTTTGCCTCAAGAGAGATTCTTCAGATGAAGAAAATGATCTAGTGTCCTGGGAAACTAAGAATACTGCTTCAAAAATGAAACATGGTTCTCAGAAGCATAGCCTAGCCCAGGGCAGAGATAAACTCAGAAATCCGAAAGTAGATGCTAAAGAAACCAGACTATGCACAAAGTCTTACACAACAGCTGAAGGTGAAGAAAACTCATTCTCAGATCCAGGGGAAAGGACTCAGAGTTTTCTACCATCTCATAAGAAAGATGAGGACTCTGCTGCCTACTTGGATAGTCCTCTCCCTTTATGCCAGAGGTTAAAACTTAGGTTCCAGAACACTTGAAGTGGATTTTATAATACTTAATTAATTTGAATGTTGTCAGCATTAACAGAAGCCAAGCAATGCTGTCCGGTTCATGTTTGGTAGGAAATTTACATGATTATGTACCATTTATTCAAAATGTAGTTTAAAATGTTAGCAGCCATGTATGGTTCATGGCTATAATCACAGCGCTTAGGAGATGGATACAGTTCAGAGAAACAGGAGTTCTACCTCATCCTCTTGTGTATGGAGAGTTTCAGGCCAATCCTGAGTTATCTAAGGAAGAAAATCTTAAAACTTCAATTACAAAGTTGCTTTTTTTTTTTTAATGACAAAAGATGGTAATTTTGATTACAAAACATGGTGACAGCTTCAAATAATGTGTTTTTTTAGGACATGTTTTACCAGTCTTGAAATGTCTTTACTAATTATTGTCTAACTTTAACATATTAGTGTATTCTTTGATAGAGCAAATGTGCTATCATTTTTAGTTTTTCTTCTGTAATCCTCTAAAACATTTGTTACAGTCTAGCTTATTCCCAAGAAGGTAACACTTTGTAATTGCACTGCAGTGTCTTCATAGCCCTTCCTAAGGGCTATATTTCCTCTTCATGTTGAATACCATTAGCATGCTCTTCCACTTTTAGTGGATGTGGAATAACGTGTGTTTGTAAAGTCTGCAGAAGGAAAGTTAAGCATTATAGACATCAGAAGGTCAGGCACTGCAAGTGGACAATGTTTTTAAAATCACATGAAGCTTATCCAGATCACATAGTTAATAATATTAACAGTGTGAGTCCCGCCTTTGCTTTCTAGTTTGGATCTCATATTGTTTATTTTTCTGTTTTGTTTTTGATCTGTAAAACTATTCCCTTTTGCTTTACAAATCAGTTTGTATGTTATATTGACTTTAATCCCTACAAATACTAAGTCTTACATAAATTGTACTCAAAAATTCCAGAAGCATCTGGACTTTAAAAGAGACAGTACAACTCCTTGTAAATGACAGGAGCCTGAAATAGAAGATCTTAATGGATCCATCAAAAAGTGCTTTAACCCCAGCACTTGGAAGGCAGAGATAGGTGCATCTCAGAATTCAGGGCTAGCCTGCTAGGCAGAGCTAGTTCCAGAATAGCCAATGTCACACAGAAACCCTGTTATGAGTAAAACAAAACAACAACCAAACAAAAACTATTAAAAGTGAAACACGAGTTCAGGTTGTAAAATCCAAAATTAGTTTACTAACTATTCAGCTATGATTCTTTATACTTTGTATGAGCATGAAATTTCACCAAGTGAAGATTAAAAATTAACACAGCAAAGATGCAAAACTTTGAGTTAGCAGTGGAAAACAGTGGATGAAAGGAAAGAAAGTAGAAATGAAGAGAAATCTCAGAATCATGGGTTAGAAGACTTAGCATATGGATCTGTTTAAACTGTTCAGTTTTGCCAAGTGGTGCTGTTGCACACCTCTAATCCCTACACTCCACTCCTGCAGCAGGGGCAACGAATCTCTGAGTTCCAGAACAGTTGTGGCTACACAAAGAAACCTGTCTGGAAAAAAATGAACAAATAATAAATAAGCTGTTTTGTTTCAATCCAATCCCATCAATCTCATGTTTGCTTGGTTCTCCCTCTGACTCGCCTTCCCCCCCCCCCACAAAAAAAAATGGCAAGCTGATTTCATTATTCAGATAGAAATTTAAGGAAAAAAACATTTTGGGAAAATTGGAGAATTCATCCTTCCTGATGTCATGATCTATTACAAAGCTATATAAATGAAATATGTTGTACTGATGTAAGAGTAGGTGTGTGGATAAATGCTAAATCAGAATCAGGAGTCTAGAAATGTGCTCTCCCATTTATGGTTGATTGCTCTTTAGTCAATATGAAGACAATTCAGTGGGGGGAAAGTCTCAAATTCAGCTGGACCGTTTGGCTGTTCACATAAGATCTCTGTCTCTGTCTGTCTCTCTCTCTGACCTCTTGGTAACCAGCAACATTTCAGATTGAGGACTTGATGTATGCATGGATTACTAGTTAGTTGTAGGCAGGGGGCAACAGTGATGCTAATATACACAACTAGACCTATAATATCCTTGAGTCACTAACTAGATCATTACAAATAGTCATGCGACGGGTGAACCAAAGAGGTTTGAATAGAGTTGTTCCCTTTCTCAGAAACTATGTCTACAACAGTGAGGAAGTGGTTGTTAGATATTACTCATGAGTGATATTTGCATGTTAGTAATACATGATAACATGCTGGTTTTCTTCCCTGTCCATTACTGCCTCTGCTAGAAAAAGACTCTAAGACACTTGAAGCTTCATGTGTTTTTCTAAGAAGGAAATAAATGATTCCTTTTTTTTTTTTTTTTTTTTTTTTTTAACAGACTAGGTAGAGTAGGTAATTCTAGAAATTAGGTTTGCTACAGAGGCCAAGATCAGAGGTATAACAGGAGCAAGCTCAGGTATGAGGGACCTCAAGAGAGAAAAGAAAGTTATGAAAAGCTGATGCAAGTGTTCTAGGTTGTAATCCTATCAATCATTGCTTCATAGGAGGACAACATGCCTCCACTCAGGGCAATTCTCACCTCTGTCCTAAAGAGAGAAGACTTGAACACTTGGTCAGTCTTCTAAGTAGTGCTGGCCTTATCTTATCTGCCAGGTTTGACAGACTTCATTGAATACAAGTTAATCAAGAAGACCAAGGCAAGCTCTTGATGGTTTGTGGTAGAACAATTCTTCCATGTTGTAGGAACTTCCTTAGTACACACTTGGCTTTAAGGTCACTGTGGATTCCTTCACTCTACTTGTAGGACATCACAGTCTACTGGGCAGTAAGTCCTGTGTCAAAGGAGCCTAAAAGGTAGTTATCACATTGGCAAGTGCATACTGAATAGCATGATTGTGCTTGAGGTAGATAATTAAGTGAAGTATCCTGAGACTAGGGCCATTTGAGGATCTGTAAGAGTAGTACTAGCCTGGCATCAGTAGCTCATGCCTTTAATCCCAGCACTTGGGAGTCAGGCAGGTGGATCTCTGAGTTGGAGGCCAGCCTGGTCTTCAGAGCGAGTTTCAGGACAGCCTCCAAAGCAATACAGAGAAACCCTGTCTCAGAGAAAAACAAACAAACAAACAAAAAAAGAGTAGGCCTTTGGAAACCATATTTTTTTTAATGCAAAATTGATCAATGACTTGAGATCTAAAACTGTAGGAGAAAATAGGCTGAAGGCTAGAAAGATGACTCGCCAGGTAAGAAAGAACACTCAGTAATGCTCTTGGAAATGACTAGAGTCCAGTTCCAAACACCCGTGACTCCAGACCTAGGGGATCTAAAACCTGACGTCCTCAAGTACCTGCACACATGTGCGTTACCCATATATACATACTTTAAAATTCTGAAAAGAAGCTAAAATCTTTGGTCTTTCATTAGGCAAGGGTAGGACATTAAGGCTTAGGCATTAAACAACTGGGTTTTTATTAAAACTTGCTTCAAATGGCAATAAAAGTGATAAGACAGTGTAATAAGAGAAAACATTCAAATTCCTAGCTGTAAAGGATAAAGCCAGGCTATGGTGGTGCAGCCTTTAATCCCAGCACTTGGGAGGCAGAAGCAGGTAGATCTCTGTAAATTCAAGGTCAACCTGGTCTACAAAGCAAGTTCTAGGACAGGCTCCAAAGCTACACAGAGAAATGTCTCAAAAAAAAAAAAAAAAAGATCTGTACAAAGAGCTGTTATGATTCAATAGAAAAGTAAGAAGTAAGCAAAATACCTAAATCAACATTGCTCCTAAGAAGACATAAAAATGGCCAATAAACATGAAATTTTTTTCAATCATTATATCCACTGGGAAAATATGAACCAAGCCATAGGCAGTTCCCACTTCGCAGTCACTAGGATGGCTAAACTTAAGAAAGTAGTATCAAGAACATGAATTGGAACTTTATAACCTACTGTGGTAAGAGTATAAGATAAGAAGGCACTTTTAAAAAATCTCATAGTTCTTCAAATGATTACAATTATTGAGTAAATCTGATCCCAGAAATATGTTCAAGGCAAATGAAAACACAGCCACATTAAAACAAAAACAAAACAAAACTGTGTACAAATGCTCCTAACATTACTATTAATAATAGCCACCCCAGTTGCCAAGGGAGAGAGGAAAACTTAAGGTGCATTGGATGCCAACTGTGTGGTAAGTTGTCGGGGTCCATAAAAATTGCTTAGCTTCATCTTGACTTAAGGTAAGAGATTTCAAAACTATTCTTTCTTTTCCAAGGTTAAAGTTATAAGACCTAAAAGTCTAAGGTATGGCTACTGTGGGATGTTTGGTTTTAGTAGTGGACATCTTATGTAAATAACAAGAGACTTGCTCTAAGGTGTGGTTACTCTTAACTCTCAAGGTCAGATAAAGAGAGATTTAGTCTACTGTTTGGAAAATTAAGGAAGAAGGTCTATTCCTTGTATCTTGATAGTGAATTCTCTTGCCTTTTCCCCCTTTTTGGTTTGCGTATATTGGAATGTTGAAGAATAAACTTGGAGCATCCAGTATTCACTGGATCGCCCTCCTGCCTCTATTTTGTGTCTCTATCTTTTCCTTAGTATCTTTACCAATCCACACTCCCCCTCTCAGGTATGATCCAGGCAAGTCGACTAGATCTTCCTGAAGCCCCCACAAAGACAGGTTCCAATTCAGCTAGGTTCTGTACAAAGTTTCTACCACCTCTCTTAACTGTATTGCCAAGTTTTGAATTTTTAAGAAAATAATCCCATTAAAAATTCCCACGTGTTGATGGGCAGAAGTGGTGCACGCTTTTAATCCCAGCACTTGGGAGGCAGAGGCAGGCAGTCTGTAGTTTGAGTCCAGTCTGATCTACAGAGCGAGTTCCAGGACAGCCAGGGCTATACAGAGAAACCTTATCTTGAAAAAAAACAATTCCAAAATTTCCAAGTGTCTTTTTTTTTTTTACCTTGATTTGTCCATTGTTCTTGACCATACATCCAAGGGAAATAATAGTTATACATGTTCTTGAGATTTTATGAAATGAAGGCAATAAAAATGGCTCATCTGGATTACTTACAAATCTGTGCACATCAATCTATGCAGTCTGATACCAGCTTTCACTTCCTCTTTTGTTGTTCAGGTGTTTGTTTGGTGTCTTTTGTTGTTCAGGCTATTATTCAAATTCTCTAGCTTTGAAGCCTGTCCTGGAACTAGTTCTTGTAGTCCAGACTGGTCTTGGACTCACAGAGATCCACCTGCCTCTGCCTCCCAAGTG